GGTCAACAAGATATAGACTCATTAATCAGCTTGGTGAGTCTTAGTCCGATTACCTGATGATAGTACTAACTTCTCAGGACATATTTGGTGGATTGACTGTATCTTGTATCAGCTAAAGGGCTTTTTTAAGAAGATTGATGAAATACAGGATGTGAAATTGTGGTTAAGACATCATTGGAGCGAGGAAGGCTCCCCCACTTCCGATATGGTGCCTGTACTGGAGAAGGGATTATGGCTCCCCATGGAATAAGCTGGCTCAATACATCGATGGACGGATAATGATGACTAAAGAATGGTTTACTATGAGTAGCCTATTGCCGTCTACCTGGATACAGCCTCCACGTTGAGCTCGCTATTCACGTTTGAAGTTGCAAATGTCAGAGAGTAACTTCCAAATCTTCAGATCAATTGCCTTAGAATGAGCTATTCGCCTCCTATCTATAATACGTTGAAAGATAGGAATCTTCTAATAGAGTGAAAGAAGGCGAGCAGACTTTATCGATGCTAAAGAAGATTTCTTATTCTCTTGTCACTTAAATACATAGGCTACTCCCGGTCCTTTTAAATCAACTCTACCCCCGACATTGTGGGTCATACAAGGGTTAATTAAATCAATACTACCTGGTATCAACTCTAATGTAGGGATCCGCGTTCGGGCAGCGTCAAACCTCGACGGATCTGATGGCCCTGACCCGCACCCTTCCAACCACTGTCTACCTAAGAAGCAGCGAGTGTTGGCCAACAGATAGGAATGGTGTTTCTAATACGGTTGTGTGTAAACTGTAAATGTGAATACTATATGTAGTGTAGGAATAAGCGATAATGTGATATAAAACCAAATGAAAAAGGAGGATATTTCACTGGGAAAACGACGAAGCAACATAGCCGTAGTTGTCAGCTATCCTGCTACTGGCAGCTCAAGGTGTTTAAGATCTCAATTAAATATGAAAATACCTTGATAGCAGCCTAGCTTCCTCGCTCTGCACTCTAGATAGTGATCTGCCACAGCAATCCGCTAAGATCATGCCAATGCCGTTAAAATAGACGCCCCACCTCGCCTTAATAAATGCAATGCAGGATCCGGACGGAAGTTGGCGCTGCTTGCTTTCACTCAACGTGTGCTTCTGTTTTAGGAAGCCCTTTTCTTATTAATCGAAAAGGTTTATCTCGTGCACCGCCATGACAGAGTCAGGATCCACGAAAACGTCTTTTACTGCTCGTTTTGTGATATGCGTATAACCCCAACCTCCCACATATCCGCAAATAAACCCGTCAGTCCGGTCCCTGTTCATCCTACCGGTTCACTCCGACAAACTGCATGAACTTGTTTCGTGTTTACTCTTGCGCTCAAAGCAACCCAGCATGCAGCTTGTCAGGGTTGTCGTATTAGTTTTCTCAACGCCACGTATCACCATGCACAGGTGGCTCCATTCCATAATGACGGCAACACCTCGAGGCTTCACGATATCCATAACGGCATAAGCAACCTGTTTGGTGAGGCGCTCCTGGATCTGTAAGCGACGAGAGCATACCTCGGCGATTTGAGGAAGCTTCGAGAGGCCGATCACGGTATTGGAGGGAATGTGACCAATGTGCTTCTAGAAGAGATAATACGAATGAGCTGTATAGATTTGGTGGCGATGTCTCTTCTATCTGTTGAGAGGGTGCGTCAAAATCTACCGAGGATAGTTCATTCTCCGGTTTTTGCCTTCTGAGCGTCGTTATATCTCCATCCTCCCGTAAGCTGTGGCTATCATTTGCCTCGGGCGGCAGCGCCTTGTTGCGGCAATGCCTCTTTGGTGGTGGAGTCGGTGACTGCCAGTGAGGAAGTACCTCCTGTGCGAACGGCCGTTTCTGGATCGAGTGGCTTGAAATACTTTGTTGGTCGGTATGGCTATCTATAATCCTATAGCTGCTCCTTTAGTCCTTACTGTGAGGGCGCTGGCTTAGAGCTGTTCAACTAGGGTTGGCGATAGTATTATCCCTGCATTCCTCAACCTGAAGATGGAGAAACGCGAGCCACTGCTCAGATGCCCTGTGGTAAAGCTGTAGAAGCGCTGGGTGAAATTGATTGGGGTATGCTCCATCAAGTCCGTACGTAGAGTATCTCTGGATAGGCCTATGGCCACTATGCCATGCTATGTTTGTTTGTTTGTTTGTTTGTTTTAATATTAACGTCCACTAATTAAGCTAGTTACATAAATCCCTTCTGGGCAATAGGACGGTAGGAGCCGCAGGTTCAGAATCCGCGTTCGCTACGTGTCATACGAAACAAAGGAAAAGTGCTCTGTCAATCTTGTGTTTGTGTCAGTCTGTGTCTTGGGGGGCAGGGCCGTAAGGGCCGGTGTCCTCCACTAGTGTCTAAAAGTGTTTGTATCCCTCTGGTCCTAATAAGTAGGAGAGGGGGGTGATACCTGCTCGGAGATCTCTCTCGAGGACTTCTGGTAGGAAGGGGCGGACCATTCTGCATTCCGCAAAGTGGCCTTGTGTCCTTGGCTCGCCGCACTTGAAGGTGGGTCTGGTATCGTGTCCGAATCTTTCGTGGTACTCAACAAAGTCGCCGTGGCCCGATCTCTCCGCGTAGAGGCTGTGTAGTATAGCCCTTGGCAGTTGGAGTTCCGGGGTTTGGCGAGAGCGTCTAGTCGCCAGCGTCTGTAGTAAGGCGGTCGGTTCTGGTCCCAGTCTAGCTCCCGGAGCCGTTTCCTCTCACTTTTGGCCCACCTTTTGATGTGGGTGATCGTTGCAGTCCTGGATTGTGGGGTCGGAAGCTCTGATCCTTCCTTTGCGAGTTTGTCTGCAGCTTCGTTGCTAGCCGTCGGACGACATCCCCAAGCCCGGCCCACTGCGCGTCGCTGAACCGAATCCCGTGCCCCTTCCTGGCATCGGAGCGCCCCAGCGGCCAGACCCGGACACAGTAGCAGAGATATCGCCTCCAGTATGAGCTGTATCGCTCCGTCGTCGATGTCTCGTGCTTCTTGCCGGACGGCTCGCTCGATGCCCTCGTCGCGTCAATGCTGCCGAGCCACTTAAGCGTCTGGTCCGGTACTCGGTCGAGTCGCTTTGTGCACCTTGCGAGAACCCGGTCGTAGCTATCTCCAAGCTGCCGAAGCCGTCGGTTCACCTTGATCGCCTCTTGATGATTCCACCGTTTTTCGACCGCTTCCGGCGCCAGCGGAGCAGCTGTCTCATAACGCATCTTCCGGTTCTTATCTTTTAGATGCTGGGCCAGCTTCATAAACCTGACCCATCGTGAATCTGTATTGACTCCGCCTAGCGCCTCCACGAGCTCCCGTTTTTTTTTATCTTCCTCTAGTATGCCTTGCTCGCAAACCTCGGCCATTTTCGTCAACGCAGTAACATCATCGTTACCGTCGTCGTCGGCATCAATTCCGTTGCCATCGCTAACCGCATCAATAGGTTGACCAATTGCGTCGACGATCCAATACCTGGCATGCGCGCCTCGTGAAAATGTCTGCAGCGTGACGCTCTTCCACCCCGTTTCTCCCGGGCTGAACCTGTGCCCGCTTTGAGTCCGATGGGTGATGGCGTTCTTTTGGTTGATGGTCAAGAAGCGGCATGCGTTACAGCTATATCCTTGAAAGCTTTCCAACCAGCCAAGTGGCTGGCTGTAGTCCGCGGGGAGCTCGACGGATTGCGGATCGTTAATTGTAACCCTTGCGCCGATTGAGTAGTAGTAAAAGCCGATCACACATTGTAATTCGCACCCTTTAGCTTGTGCTGTTTCCGAAAATGAGACTTAATCGTCTTCTCTGAAGGTCGGATCGCAGCGCGGCATTGTAAGCAGAGTAATAAGCCACATGGCTCATATATGGTAAAAATATTATTAAAGTATGAAAGTCAACTCAGAATGGTAGACAGATTGTAAAGTAAACTAAGTAGACTGGTTTTACGAACGCCCTTGCACGCCCTTGTTCATAACCATGTAGATCTTGTGATGTCCGACTTGCTCCAATTGAATACCTGCGTCGATGCTTTTCTTTAGAATTGAAAACACAGTCATTGATATTTATACGCATCGAACGGTCTTCTAGCATTTGGAGAACCTTGTGACAGTGCATAGTGTGCTCATACTGAGAGGCAGAGAAGACGAGAATAACGTTGACAGATAGCAAAACGTCTGGTCAACACCTTTGGTTGCCTCGAGTGCCGCTTTAACCTCTTGGTGCGAGTGCATAGTTCCCAGGCGAGTAGAAATGGTAGCTTTAGGAATTTTGTCGAAAGCTGTTGGGTGGGTTGGCGACCATATAGCGACGTTTGTCTCGGCATGGACACTTGTCGAGCTTCGACCAACAGTTCCGTCTTCAGCAGTTATAAATCCTCCCGAGTTCGAAATCATATCCGAGTCAAGCCCAAGCCCAAGCTGTTGGTCGGCTGCACCAAAAAACCCATTCATCTCATTCATACTATCCGCTGCAGCTTTCATCAGCTCATTATCTATGTCAACAGCAGCTTCAAGTATATATCCAACTAAAAAAGTTAGCTGCATTTTCTCCGCTTTTGAGGCGAGTTTTCGAGGCCGACCAATCTTTTTGAGATTATTTGGTATGACTGGCGTTCAGCTATGGAGTACGTATGTAAAGGAAACTACGTAAACTGCAAGCTTACAACCAACGGGTCCCTTGGAATGAGATGCATAGAACACTCGTAGGGTTAAATAAATCAACTCTACTAGAGTTGATCAGAGTCTTGCCAATGTAGGCAGGACGTCAAGTAACGGTCTTTTAACTTTACGCCGCGCGCCAAACGGAGTGTTAAATGATTGATAAATAATTTCTGCACTCTCTTTACCCATAACGCTATGTATTTCGGCAATAAATGGGTTGGGGCTCTGTGGCATTTGAGTGTTTCTTGGAACTACTTATTACTTATTGACCTTGCTGTCGATTCTAAAAGTGGAACAAAGGGCTATCTGAAAATCTGGCGTCGGTTATTTTTCTTCACTCCAGCCCTTAATCCAGTCCGCGGCAAACTCTACATGGCTAATATCCATAAATTCCTCTGTCTCCTCTAATGTGGGAAACTCTCCCTCGTCCCGTGCTGGTGTTGGTGCCCATGATGGTGACGGTGGGATTGGTTCGTGAGAGTATGGTTCCCATGGCAAGGTGGACGGCAACTCTGCCGTTGGATCCGGGCTGTCGCCATGAGAACTATTTTGCGGTTCTCCGAGCACAGGTGACTTGGGCTGCCAAGAAGGTGCTCGGTGAAGATTCATGGAATCACAGTCCCCGCTGCTTAACGCGGAGATTCGCCGCTTGCTCTTGCCGCCGCGTACTGTTTCTTCGTCAAAGTCCGTCCGTCCCTTTGGACTGGTATGCGGATCTTGTGGATCCGGCTCTAGATTTTCCTTAGTCTCAAGGCTTTCGGTATTTCTAGATAGCCATGCTAAAGACCAAAGTGCAGACCATCTATCTTCCGGCCGCTTTCGGAGTAAACCCCGTAGTAGTGGTCGAAATCGTTCCGATGCTTCCTCAATGTGTGGGAGAATGACTTTGTGCATCCAGCGGGCTCGTGCGGAGGCATCCAGAGCGCTATCAGCGCCATCGGAATCTGAAAGGGGATCCCACTCAGAGACGCATTGCAGAAGCACAAGTCCAAAAGAAAACATGTCCACTTTACTGGTATAGCTTCGCGGTTGCTCTAGGATTTCAGGGGCCAAGTACAGAGGCGATCCAGTGAAGGTATCCATGTTTGGCTGTACTTGTCGGCAGGTGGTACCGAAATCTGCGAGCTTGAAGTCGCCGTCCTGCATAAGAATGTTGTCTGGTTTCAGGTCACGATGTGTCGTGTCCCTAGAATGTAAGAATGCAATTGCACTGAGAATCTGAGTGGAAAAAACGATTATGTCTTGTTCCCTCAGTTTTTTAGGATCGAGGCAAGTGGGGATCCACGGCAAGATGAGCCATGGCGGATGCCTAGGGTCTTTCGCTCGCACAACTTCATAAGCTCTCACGATATGGGGCTAGTGCTATCATCAGCGGCTGACAGCGTTAAGGAGGCTAAAACTTACGTGGTCAAAACTGGTGCTATGCTCGTACTCCCTCTTTAGTTCCTCATACCGCTTTCTCCGGATCCCATCGTTGTCTGACGACTTATAATATGGCTCTTTAGCAGCAAATTGTTCTCCAGTGTCTCGATCGAGGACCAGCATGACTGACGCTGTTGCTCCTCTTGCTTCTATGTCCTGCTTCACATAGACCCTTGTTTTGCCATAGCGTACATTAGAGGTTATCGTCTCCGGGTCATTCTCGATGGCAGGGAAGTAAGTTGGTAAGTCATTCATGCAACCTAGGCTGAACTCCAAGGACTTTTTTTTGTAGGCTCGGAGAGCTGTGGGCAGAAGTTTAGGGCGCCATGCTTGAAACGCGACACCACCAAGATCGAATGTGGCCCAGGTGGGAATCTCTATGGCGTCATCGCGTGTGAGAAGAGTCGGCTTAGAATGATCGCCAATCGTAACCTGTAAACTCTGTCCTAGGCAAGTCACCCTTGGGTGATGTGTAGCAGGCTCGATGTCAATTCGAAAGTGGCGCTTGCTGATGCCAGTCGTGTTGTCCGGTGCTAATTGAATATCCACGGACCCAGTCGCCGAGCCACACACCCAGCCGTCTGGCGAGGACATACTTTGGCCAAATGCAAGGTAAAGCACAGGAGTTTTAGGCCGCTTGACGCATCCACCACCTAGCCAATCCGCGTTCGGCCCATGTTCGTTCATAGGAGGTTTAAACACATATCTCGCGTTTTTGGTCAGTTCGACGACGTTGTCGATCTGAGTAAAGTGCCCTAAGAATAGCACAATATCGGAATAGTCAAGAGATGTGTCGGTAACGTCTGGCATCATATCGAAGAGTGTTGGAGGATCGAGGTGCTGTAGCCAGCAGGTAACGATAAAGTGTCGAGAGGCGGGGTCGTCTGGCTAACTCCCGTCTCACCCAAGGGCCAATTAGGGCAGACGAAGACGCGCCGACGCGCCGGCGCTTGTCATTGCCGTGTTGTGCATGATGGATAGCTTTTTTGTACGCGGGATTTCTGAGATCTAGTCCGACTAGACACACAATCAGCTGCTCGCGATTTCGTATTTCGAAGCGGCCGTTGCGTCTTCGTTGTCTGCTGCGTTCGGCGCACCTGGCGTCGCGCTTGAGCCTTCCATAGCTCTCTCAGTTCCATCTCTTGGCGCTTCGCCTCTCTTTCGAAGAGCTCTGACTCGGACTTCCAATAAAACGGCACATCAATGGACTTTCGGATCTTATAGATTTCAGACAATGGAATTCCAATCCCTTTCAACAGGGCTCCCCACCCGTTCGCACAAGTTCGCCAATATTCTAGCGGATCGTTCCTAACCTTCTGCAGGCATTGTTCAGCGGCGGCTTTAAGGAATTTCGCTTCTAGTTCCCAGTACTCGCGTTTGGAAATTAATTGTCGGATCTTCTCAGCTTCCGCACTTTCGAAATGGGCTCGCTTCTGCTCGCAAATTAATTGATAGCACGGCTTAACTGTGGGATCTGCGTATATTGGTTCTGGAGTGGCCTCTTCCCGGTCTTGGATCGCTGTTGTCAAGCGCTCACTAATCTCATTGGCAAATAGATATGAGAAGTCTCCTATCATATCAATTTTCAGAGAAGTTCGTTCGGTGGGAGACGCCATTTTGGCTCTGGCTGTGCAAAGAAGCTGAAAAATGGGAGCAAGTCCTGTTCCATTTACTAACAAAGCATCAGCCGCGCCACACAGTAGCGCACTATCACGTGCCCTATGCCAGGGTAGGTAAAATTACGGAAGCGCTTCAAAAGAATGAGAGGAAAAAAAAGGTACGTACATGCATACCCAGCGGGTGGACTATTATATCTTTTACTTCCCACGTTATGTTAGGAAGGCTACATCCCCATATATTGTGAATAATGTATAATCTGATATCATGTCAAATTATTGCCAGACGGTTTTCCTCTAGGAGATATGGGAGAATCGTAAGTACATACTCTTCCTTCAAAAATTTATGTTTGTTTGTTTGTTTGTTTGTTTTAATATTAACGTCCACTAAGTAAGCTAGTTACATAAATCCCTTCTGGGCAATAGGACGGTAGGAGCCGCGTGTCAGAGTCCGCGTTCGCTACGTGTCATACGAAACAAAGGAAAGGTGTGTGTCATTCTGGTGCCTGTGTCAATCTGTGTCTTGGGGGGCAGGGCCGTAAGGGCTTGTGTCCTCCACTAGTGTCTGGAAATGTTTGTAGCCGTTTGGCCCGAGTAGGTATCTGAGGGGTGTGATGCTCATGAGGAGGTCCTTGTCGGGGACATCTGGCAGGAAGGGTTTGACCATCCTGCATTCTACGAAATGGCCTTGTGTTCTTGGCTCCCCGCACTTGCAAGTGGGCCTGGTGTCATGTCCGAATCTCTCGTGGTACTCGACGAAGTCGCCGTGGCCCGACCTCTCCGCGTACAGCCTATGGAGTATGGCCCTCGGCAGCTGTAGTTCCGGGGGTTTGGCGAGGGCGTCTAGTCGCCAGCGTCTGTAGTAAGGCGGTCGGTTCTGGTCCCAGTCTAGCTCCCGGAGCCGTTTCCTCTCGCTTTTGGCCCACCTTTTGATGTGGGTGATCGTTGCGGTCCTAGATGGGGGGGTCGGAAGCTCTGATCCTTCCTTGGCGAGTTTGTCTGCAACTTCGTTGCCATGTATGTCCTTGTGGCCGGGAACCCAGGCCACTTCAAAAATTTATGTCAACCAGGGATATTAAACTTATTTTTTCATGAGTCAATGGATGTATGGCCAAAAAATAACCACAAGAATCGTGTATCTAAAGTTCCATGGTATGTTGGTCTTCAACGTACTGGCTTGTAGGCGTTGTTTTAACGCAGGTAATCAAAAAACGATTCCAGGGATAAGAGCAACTAGTCCAGCGGTTAAGCTGTTCGAAAATTGTCATGCGCTGTTATGGAGGGTTTCCCGACGTCTATGCAAAAAGTGGCTGGGAGCGCAATCAAGTCGAAAATTTCGTCATTTGGAAAGCACTGGACGACCGAGGTCATGAATTTTTATTAAGCAATTAAATTTTTCTTAGGCCTAACCTAGACTATGATCAAGGCGTTTCGGGGCAGTATAATACATCCCATGCCGAAAAGCGGCTGATTGCGTATTTTATATTCAAACAATTAGAATCAAATTTAGAATCAGAAGGCGACGCTTCGAGACTGCTTGGAAAATTAAGGTTGGCAAGAAAGAACGAGCAAGCTGCCAAAGCTAAGCTTATAGAGTTGTGGAAATCTTGACTCCAACAATACTTGAATCGGGCTGTCATATTGCTATCGCGGTCGGTGTGTAGCGACTGTGAGCGATTTTCAAGCACGTACAAATTCATTCAGGTCTGCAAATTGAAATTCAGAACATTGCTATTGGCTACACCGCCCCGCTCTCTTCTCATGATCTCAATGTGGAGTCATGATGCAGTCTCTATGTAACAGCTTCCCCGGCGAAACACGTCCGGGAGGGTTCATGGTTGCCGATGTATGGAGGACAACGCAGAAAGCTCAAAATCACTCTGTTGCGTCACGGGTCCCTCGGGCTAGGTTGATCCCCATAGGCAGCTGCTGCTTACAGAATATTTGCTCCAATTGCGATCAGGATCCTAATCCTAAACCTCTACTCAGTTCGGAATGTAAGTCAACAATAACGAAGAACTTTTTCTCTTAAGTTCCTGGACTTTTACCTTTGAGTAACAGCCGCGTAGCTTATAGAATATCAATCTTAGACAAAGCTAGTTATTAAAACTTTTGACTAGTATAAGAGTGCAAAATAGCATTGTTGCGGCTCTCACTAACCTAGTCTCTAGGCAAAAGTTCTTTCAGACCCGTTTGCTACGGAGACATAGTACTATTGCGAATGTTAATATCACTAACATTAAGAGATTGTGTTAAAACGGAACTAAAATATATCAAAATAAATCCCATCGCAGATTTTCCATTAACATATTAGAATACACAATTGACACAGAATGATGAACATACTGGACGTCAATAAAATTCCAAGCTGTGCCAGTCTCTTTCTGCTAGACTAACGATTTCCCATCTTGCAACAATTCAGCGTCCTTTCTCATCAGTAGGATATAATCACCCTTCTCATGCCTATCCATGATGAAATATTCGTCACTTTTATGGTGGGGTTGCGTGGCCCTGATTTTTCCTTGGGAATCGTGGCCGAGATACGCACCGGAAACAGTGTTGCGGAATCCATACCAGCCATCTTTCTTAACACAATGCCAGAAAGCGCCGCCTCCAGGGGTGGGCTTAGATAAGAATTTTAACTCTCCATTGCAGAGAGTAAGGATGCGGTGCGGCTCTTGCGTACTTCGAATCATAAGTGATTTGTTCGCTAAAGGTTGATTCTCTACTGCTTTGGATGGCGGCAGGGCGGATGCATCAGGCTTATTTTTGTCCATTTCCATTTCTCTTATTGCGATGGGGCCGGACATGATGGAGAGAGTATCTTTAGGTGTTAGGCAGTCACCGGTTGAACTGCTAGTACTTGTTTGAACTTACCTCCTCCCAAGAGGTTTCGCTCATTATCCGAATGTTGTGAGTGGAGACGAGGAACTATTCGTGGATGGGATTAGAGAGCAGCTGAGAGATTTAATTTTCTTTAGGAGACGCTGGGTGTACAGTGCTTTTTGGTTTATATGAGTCTGGTTGAATTCGATGGGCAAGGAATGATTAGGGAATGTAAGCGAACCTATCTGTCGGGGTTCAAGCCCTCAGACAACCTTAATACCTACAGTGATCCCAAAGTGATCGCTGACCCAAACATCATCTAAACCGGCTTTGGCTTTCAGCCCTATTCCAAAGCGACCCAATTTTCCAGTGGTGTCCTGAGCTTCACTCAACGAAAACGTTTCAATGGACCCTGTAGAGAAACTTGTCCAACCGTTTTCGTGTTCTGGCTCTGTCGGATTGGTAGCCCCACGTATTTCCTCTGGCTTTACCATATGTGATATCTTTCTGGAAGGGCTTTAAGGCCGGCGGTGTCGGCGCTGGCTCATCTTCCCAAACGTCCTTCAGGCCTACCTCGGGTGCTCGGTGGGTGTTGTGCTCGGACGGATCAACTGAATTCATGTCGCCGCCAACCAGCCCTCCATAAATTCTCTGCTCCTGAGGCGAGTCGCCCTTCAGTAGCGCTGATACTTGGACGAGTTGGCGAAAACGGAGCTCTTTTTCTGTGTAGAGTGACTCAAGGTGCGTTGTGCACAGGCGAAGTGGCCGTTTTGATGCTTCGGGGCCATGGTCCTTGGACACGGGAAAGTCAACCACAAGGGCATCTCTCTCCATTTTAGAGACGAAGGGGACACGGAAGCAGTTTGATATTGGCAAATTCCGCGAAATCATGAGAGTAAAATATCGACTGGGTATGCGGTCGGGTTTCTCGTCAAAGGATTCATTATCTGCATAATCGAAGTATGGTGGCTCCGTATCGGAGAGGACGAAGTTTTGTTGAGTCCACTTGTCCTCCAGGATGGCCTCTAGTGATTCTTGGCGGAGTTCTTGGAACAGTACCACGAGGTTGTGAGGTTCTTGGCCAAACATGGTCCGCAAATAGGCGATGGCGGCGGCGGCACGGGCGGCGGCGGCGGGAACCGAGAAAAACAAGTTCCAGGATGCAATTTTTAGGACATCTCCCCGCCTAAGTGTTCTGGCTTCATTGCTAAAAGGTGCCCAGGATGAAGATTGGGGGTTATATATCTGTGGTTGGAGGAAGCTGGGGCTGGTCTGTTGGTCGGTGAGAGACTGTGATATGAACGTCTTATTAGCTGTGTCGTCCATGAACTCGAGGGACCCTGACATGGCGTCGAGATATAAATCGTTGAATTCAAAGTCAGAGAGGTCGTCGACGTTGCGGAAATCGCCTCGACATTTGAGTTCGAGAGCCATTAGGCGAGATTCCCGTGATGGGTACTGAGAAGTGTGGTAAGGTCTAATTAGGTTCGTGCTTTGTGGTTTTCTTTGGAACCATGAATTCCAGCGCTGATTTAAACTTCCATTTCTACCGAACGAACTCCTATGTCTAGGGTATCGTTGACCTAGATATAGTACCAAAACACTTCTATTCATAGAAAGGCAAAACCCTCGGGTTGCAAGTAGGTCATACATACTCATGAATGCAGGTTAAGCGATGGTCTTGTCGTCGTAATATCAAGATTGCCACTGCTCTGCTATCGATGTGATACTGCTAAAGTGATGACTCCGACAAGATGATCCAAGGATTTGAGTTTTATGCACCCTGAGACACTGCTAGCTTCAGGTCAGCTGGATTTCGGCCATAGGAATGGTGGCCACGACATCTTCGCAACAGTTTGCAGTGTAGATGTAATTATGACGCTGGCATCAGATTCACGTGGTGTCATGGATATCAAGTCTCCTGACGTCGGGAGCCATCACCGATCGCCAAGACGTACTCGATGAGCGGCGTACATACCATCGCCAGCGAATCGAATTGCATGTCGTCTTTATCACACTCCAGGGTAGTTCACGGTGATAAATCCACGCCGCCTCATCATTGAAGCGGGGTAACTGGAACCGTTGTTGACCCAAGTGCCCTGAGTATTATTACTGAAAAGCCATTATAGGCGCTGGCGTCTAGCGACAAGCTTACGCGTGAGAAGAATTGTAAATAGGTGCCAGAGGCGATTGTACTTCAGCCCTTTCCACATTGTTAGACTCGCCCGAGCGCCTAATTTTCACGTGCACGGAGCTCATTGAAGGATAAAAAGCTAAATTTGACCAGTAATAGCTCAACTCATTTATTGCTGGTCGGTCATCCTTACAGCCACTACTTCACAAGCTGAAGGAGGAAACTTGTATGAGGTACACCAGGATCCTTATTGGCGACCCGAAGCTTGCACGGGTATTCTAATTCTGATGTGATGCAGTAAAAATCGCCGCAGTGCCATCCCGCTTTTCCTATTTTCCACTCTACAATTTTCAATTATTGCAAAAAGCATCCGTCCCTTGCCCTTTCAACACATCGCGGACGGCTTTCAGTATTTTGCCGTGTACTGCCACGAATCAAAGTTGGCACTCAGCTTCCTTTCATCTAACAAGTCAATGTCTTTGCTGTGTACGTCTGTAATTTTGTGAAGCATGACTCCTGAATGGTACCACGATTTCGCAAATCGATCTCGGCGCTTATATGCCCAGACAGTCGTGTTGCCGATACCAGAGCCATAGCCGCCCAGGGAAAAATCCAGGACACAAGATCACTCCCTGGAAAAGCGACTTCCAAACGCTCCGCAATCCGCAACTACCTCACGAACGCCTTTGAGGGCTGAATCGACGAGACGGTGATTAAAGTTAGGCACTGTGTTTCAGTTTGCTCAGGCAGTTGCTTGACATCTTGGGATTCACTTTGCAAAGATCTCGAAAAGGCACCATGGCCCTTGATGGCATATACAATGCAACTCTTGCCCTCGGGATCAATGTCACTGTTGCGTAGGGGACCCTTGTGATTTAATGAGAAATTAGGAAACCTGACAACTCCTAGAGTCTGCTTGACGTCGACACTCAGGCCAATGTTGATGGCGTACAGCTCGCCTCTCCATTATGTCTTGGTGCCGTTAATCGGACTAAACACTCATACCCCGGCAAATCCCCCCTCTTGGATGGCTCGTGCACGCCTGGTCGATCAGGTCACACATCTGGTCTTTAAGGTGTAGAACAGTCCTCAAGTGATAAAACTAGCCGGGTTTATGTTGACAGACATAGGTTAAGTCTATCGAGCCGGTTCTAGTGACGTAGCTAATAACGAGGTTATGAACACCCAGTACGCCGTCTGCGTGTAATAACTCTTTATATACATCCGGCGGCAGCTGGTTGCGGTGTTGATAGAACCTTTCCACAATAGCTCGCCTTAATGCAGCTTACATCTCATGCATGTGGCGCAGCCTGGCCATCATGGGCCATGGCAGTGCACAAGATAAACCTATATCGATCGATAGAGAAAGGCTTTCTGAAACATACTATGTCTAAAGAATTATTATGGTCCATTTGGGTGGATCTTTATTGATGATAATGTTCAAAAGTTAATATGTAGAAGGTAGGACACAAACTGGCCGGATTCTGTATCCCTGCCTGACAACAACTATATTTAACCCAGTCTGAGAAAGCCGTAACAGCCTCAATTCTAAGCTGCAACCAGCAGAGCGGTCCTAATAGGACCGACACACGCGAGCGCTCCTCCGTATACTGGACCGATGGGCAATAGCGGTCCTGAAGAAGATAACTAACTATATAAGACGTTAACAATTACAATAATTAGAATAACCAGATAATCAGTCGTAAACAGCATAATAGTATTAGATATGAGTTGCATCTTATCTATTGACTGCGCATTAACCTTTAAGTGATTAATTGGATATCCTGTCCTGTCTGCCAACTCAGATATACGCATCTACCCCTTGAGAATCTACCTACCCTCTACGATATTATAGGAATGCGGGAACGATACTTCACAGCAGACACATAGAGTTTGGAATAGGTATTGGGCTTGAATATCCTTGAGATTAGAATAAACATTGGTCCAGAATAGCAATTAAGTCAGACCAAGCATTAGGTTAGGCATAAAGTTAGATTCTTTAGATTCAGTTAGTACATAAGCAAGACGGAAGAGGTTATGGAGCTTGACTTGAATTCAGGTGGTATGCTAACCTCCGCGCAATATATCGTGCCAAGTGGACGCCATAATTCGTTGACTTACATCCTTCTTATCTATACACGATTAAGGGGTAAGCATAGACCTACGAGTATGTACGGGCACATCGAAGTCTACTTAGTACAGCGTCATTTGTAATTTGGTTGAATTGAGCATGTACGAGGGTCTCAGAATTGATTTTTGCATACCTATGTAGAGCTAATATTTGACCTCTGACCCTTGTCCAGTTAGATTGAATCTTACATCTATTACAAAATCAATTGCAATACTGTAACCTGCATCTCCGAGTTCAACATGTTTTTCATAAGTCCGGATTCAAGCAATGGCGAGAGTGTATTTTTGCAGACATTTATAAAGCGCCGATATGCATGATACTGGACTATTATAAGATTATGGAAGAAGATAGTTAATGCCTGTTGCTTTATCTCCAAGCTAGGCCGTAATGCTGTCTCGAGAGCCGCCTTGGGATCCGGCTCTGCGATACAATGCTAATATTAATACTAATGGTAGAAGCATCAACTAAAAAACTGGATTCGAAGATTAATGCGAGCACGTTTAGCGTAAGTTTAAGGAAAGAGCTATCATTATTGGCGGCAAACATGGTTACTAAGATGCTCTAGTTTCTGCCGTCGATTTAGAAGATCGGGGGCGTAGGCGACAATTGCCTATGTAGGCAACAAATACCACAGAAGAACAGGATAGAGATTTATTATGTGACTCACGAATCCGCATTCCGGTTGGATGCTCTGCGAAACAATAATTGCAGAGACGACAATTTGGCTTGCTGCGCCCGATATATCTCCAATTTTTCAAGAATCCGGCATCAGTAGAGCCACGCAAGTAATTCAGTACATAGTCAAGAATAAGAACTTCAGCATGGACCATGTGTGTCGAGGAGGAATCATTGCACCCTCTCAAGATTTTTTTCATTTACACCAAATTCATGTAGCCCATCGGCCAAAGCGCGGCATTCGGCTTTGAGTTTCTCGGAAGATATAATTCTTCCCACTATTTCAGCCGCAATTACCGGTTTAGAGTCGACCTTTCATTCAATAGAATTCGTCATCAATATGGAGATTGCTCTGCTCGTGAGCTTCCCTCCCGTCTACGACAATTGGTTAATTACCCGACACCCACTGCAATTGTAACCGCGATGTACTGTGAGTGATGGCAGAGGGCTTGAGCCGTCTGCTGCTATCGATACCAGTTTATTACTAAGTATATAACACCTTAATCTTCAATAAAAGCAGTCTGCTACATTGTAACGAAGCTAATTACTATCCAACCTAGACCGACCACACTGGTCACAGAGTGTACCGAAATTTTCTCACCATTATTTCATATAGGAAGACAGTGACAGATATATACCAGCCAGGTAGTATGAAATGCAGGAGGCCTACAGTCAAGCGGGGTTGTGGAGAGTGAACCCCTCTCCCCCCATAGAAAACTTAGTTGGTGTTTTCTCCCTCTTGTAAGGCTATATTATAATTAGGCTTCCATTTACCTTGGGATACTTTCTTAGCTATTTCTCACCATCACATTAATGATTTTTCATCTAATCCTTAAGCCTACTTACCTATTACTATAACTCCAGCATGGCATCCAACTGTTCTCTTCCGTTGTGTAGCCCCATGTCCCGGACGCGCACCTCGCTTGACGATGTGCGATCTCTAGCAGATACTATGCTACACGCTTCGCTTGGTAAAAGCTGTTCGAAAGGGTTATCTACTACTGAAGCTGAGCTCCGCATCCTCCAGCTTAAGTACGATGTGACGAGGGCGGTCGCTCCACCACGTTCTGACGGACTGTTCAAAGCAGCCTGCTCTACTGACTTGTTATTTCTCATGGACACCACTGGCTCTATGCAGTCCTATATTGAAGCAGCTAAGGGCCAAGTCAAAAGCATCATCAACGAAATAAAAATGACATTCTTCAACGAAGCCTCCCTACGCATCGCGGTTGTGGGGTATAAGGATCACGGAGAGTCGTCCAACATCCAATTTCTCGATTTTACTCCTGAGGCCGATCAAGTGCTCTCATTTCTCAATCAGCTGCACGCTACAGGCGGTGCTGATGCACCAGAAGATGTCCTCGGTGGTATTCGGCAGAGCCTCAACGCAGAGTGGAAACATCCAACACGGTGTATTATACACATTGCGGACGCGCCGCCGCACGGCTGCACTTTACACGACCTAGGCAGAGGAAGCGACACATACGCCAAGCCTGGGAGCGAGCCGCACCACCTGACTTATGAAATTCTACTTAAGCAGATGATCGAGCTAAACATCAATTACACTCTACTACGTATTAACAATACAACGGATCGCATGGCTTTTACATTCTTCCAAGAATATGCTCTGGCCTCTTCACACTGCAAGCTTAACAGTCCAACAGATACTACAGCCAAGAATGCAGCAAATCTATCAGGTCCGACAGTGACCTTGGTAGGGGTGTTATCTCCAGACGCCGCACTCAATCTGTGCTGCAATTTGAGGAGTTAGAACTTGGCACTAACTATAACGCGCTACGGCGTTTGGTTGTTAAGAATATCACAACTTTAGTTTCTCGTATTGTAAGTGTAGCAGCTGCGTCTGCTGCGAGAACAGCCAAGACTCGAAACCGTAGGCCGCTGGGCCTACAGCTCTCAGCCGTCAGGGAGGATGAGAGTGGCGTTGAAGAATTGTTGGAGACCTCTCCGCCGCAATGGGATACACCAGGCTGGTTGAATGAGACGCTGCTGTGGAAGCTTTTTCCACCGATGTTATGGTGATCGGCACTAGCACGTTAAACGAAATGATGGTTCACGATGACAACATCAAAATGAGTACGACGGATCTAACCATTCATAAACGAGACCAACCGTTTGCCCAAGGGGCAATACGTGTGGTGGCTTACGCCCGCACGACGGCCTCCACTAATCGCCTTGTGGTCAAATCACTAAAAAAAATATGGCAAGGAGATGGCGCACTTGGCCGACGATATGAGATGCCAAGCGCTATGTAAGGCATTTGCGTTTGAGTTCAACGCGTTGGTGGGGGAAGAACACTCGATCGACTTCATCGTTGTAACATGCTTGCGACCCAAGTCGGGAACAGCTGCAAGCGTTAAATACATGTCTCTTGAGCCATTGATAGAAGACACCTACATCAAGTACACCTCCAACGCTGGTTGGGTTAATGAAGATAACTGTGATGACCCAATATACCAAGCCGCGCAATCGTTTTCACACTTCACGTTTGAGCGCTCACGAGGTCGCTTTTTAGTTAGTGACCTACAGGGAGTTGGCCACGTTCTTACAGATCCAGCCATCCATACGCTTGACCCTGAGCGATTTAGGCTGGTCGAAACTAACCTTGGAGAGGCAGGCTTCAAGTTCTTCTTCAGTACGCACCGGTGCAATAACATTTGCCACGAGTTATGGCTAAAGAGCAAGGGTACGATGATCATTTCAAGCAGATATGAGTTTAGAGAGGAGTGGCCGGACATGAGCAAGGTCGCCGATATGATGGTGTGCTGCTCCAACAAATTGTGTAGTAAAATTGTACGCGTGGCAACAGCTAGGTCGTCGGAGGAATTCCCTGCGTATTGTTGGTGCGACATATGCTGGCCACAGCTACGCTCGTCTATGGTCCAGTTGGTTTGCACTGCCTCTGAAGCACATCATAAATTCGATGTGTCTAAATTCTTCTATGAGTCGCAGGGGCAGATCATGCCCCGCGCATGCCTGAAGCACCGTGCCAAGGACTCCAGAATCAATTTAGCGGTTATATGATTAAACCGTATTTTACATGTATATTGTTTTGGAATCAGGCCGAAATAGCGAACAGCTAGGAATACTATGAAAAGTCAAACTGCATTTTCTAATTACTGTTATATCAATACAGTACTCGAACAGGATAGTTATGTCTTCGAAACTATTAATGTTGTTTATTGGATTGAAGTGTGCAATACAACCGGCCATGGCGGTCCAAAGTGGGCTTTTTTGAATGAGCTAGCAAGTGTACGAGCCTGCCGCCAGCCGGTAAAAGTGGACCTAACGGGCACTGTCGCCCATTTCCCAACGCGTCGAGCCCAGCATTTTCGCATTAATTTTCTTTCCTTCTTTTCCGTCCACTGGTCTCCCTTCTTATGACTCTGTTGTTGTTGGCTGCTATGCAGCTGCCCGCCGCCTCGTAAACCACCATTTTTGCTGTGGTTGGGTTCACTCTAATCATAGGGAGACGCAACTTTCGGCGGCGAGCCCCCATCAGCAAAAAGCCATATGACATCGATCATAATAGGAGCCTGCCACGCGAGAGTTTGCGCGTCCCTTCCTCCGACTCACTTGATACCGCCTCTCTCACTGCTGTTCCAGATTCCAGATTTGCTCTACTTGTCTATCATCTTTCTAAGATGTATGAAGCGCAGGCTGTGGATGCTAAGATGCTAGTTACATGTGGGGTATTGCCGGGCACTACACTCCGATTTGTGCGTCGGGTTAAAGAGTGGTTGGCTGAACTTAGCCTAGAGTAAAGCAATTACAGTAGACTCAAGGGCAACTAAAATTATTCTATGCGAAATATCTCAAGTAAACTTCCAGCTGATGGCGGCGGTACACCGCTTGTCAAGATATGCGCTCTATTCGCTGGGCCAGAGGTGAAGTTAAAGGTCTACCCTAATTAGGAAAGGCGTACGCCGCTTGTCGAGATATGCGTTCTATTCGCTGGGTCAGAGGTGAAGTTAAACGTCTATCCTACTTAGGAAAGGCGGAACAGATGGAGAGGCTGCTGGTCACCCTCAAAGTATCAATATAACACAAAGCGATAGAGCACACAAATCTATGAGAATGTTTGGATAATACAGATTATAAAATATATATACATATATTATTTGAGCCTTATACTAGTTGTGGTGTTGAAACCTTAATTGCAGTTCGCCTCCTGGAGGATAAAACTCCACAGTAGTAAGCGAATAGAACGCGTTTCTCGACGGGCGGCGTACGTCTGATGGCAAACGTACGCCGCCCGTCGAGAAACGTTCTCTATTCCTTGAGCTATGGTGGATTTAGGTATTTGCCCTAATTAGGAAGAACCGCCGCTGCTCGATACTAAACTATAAATCTCCCATCATGCTTGCTTCTACAGTCCTGCACAAATTAATTTACCTGCACGCTCTTTCTTTTAGCTAAAATGGCTGTCCTGCTTTGCCTACCTGAAGAACTCATTATTATGATTTCAAGTCATATGATTTCGAATCATATAAACAAACATGACTTTTTACATTTTCGTCACACCTGCCACGCCATTAAAAACGCGACCGTTTCACTATTTATCAAGCGCTACTTCCATAAACGCTATGTGATGATGGAACGCCGAAGTTTGGATACTCTCGTTTCTATCTCGGAAGATAAAACATTGGGCCCCTCAGTGAAGGACTTGGTGGTCTGTGTCGATCATCTTATTGAAAACCTCGGTGAGGTCTATAAGGCTTTGAAAGAGGAGAAGGAAGCGCCATTGTACCGGCTGCATGCATTATCGGAGAGAGGCTTGCTGAATAAATATTTCGAATACTTGATTCAAAGAGAAAATTCTGAAGGCGGCAGCACTACCGGCGATGGTGATAGCGAGGATGACGGCGAAGATGGTGACGGCGAAGATGATGGGGCCGGAGATGACGACGACGACGACGGAAGCGATAGTGGTAACAACAGTGGTCAAAACAGTGGTCATGATAATGGCGATTGTGCCAACAACTCGTTCTTTGCCAAGTATCTCAATATAAGCGACGTCGATAAAATCTACAAACCTATCAACAAAGACGCATATAATCGCCACATACAGAATCAGAAAACTCTCCTAGAGTCTGGAGATGCTGCTCGCCTTCTATCTGTCGCCATGGTGAATCTTCGATACTGCAGAACCATCACTATCAATGATAGCAAAGGTGTTGTTCGGCCTTGGGGCGCATACCTTATGGCTCGTGAGATTGGTGTTTTGCCTTGTCGCTTTATCTGCCAGCATCGTTTAGGTGACGACGAGTTTATCCAATCGCTTATCCATGCAGTGTTAGAGGCTCCTTTTGCAGGCGGTGCACGGTTAGAACAGCTTGACATTCGATTTGGGTATCTAAAGCCTACTAACTGCTTCGTTGGGCCTCAGCTACTACAAATACCTTCACTGTCACAAGTCCAGTTGACAACTTTGACGTGTTTGCGGTTAATGATTGATCCTAAATCACCTACGCCGGCCAGAATGTCTCGGGAAGAACAACATCGCGACGATAACGAGATCTGGGGAGATATCATGATTAAGTTTATTAAAAGATTCCCAGCTTTATCAACCCTTGGGCTGCACTTCTCGCCTCAAGATGAAAGCCGCTTTCTTTATATATGTTCGAAATTAAAGATACCAAAGCTACATAGACTGGAGCTTTTTGGTATTGAGTGTGTAGCTACCGATCTAGTCCGTTTCTTAGCCCCCCACAAGGAAACGCTCGAAGAGATTTCCTTAGAACGAATTAACCTTAACTCTAAAGGTGGTGATTGGAGATGGCTTCTCAAGGGAGTTCAAGAAAATTTGACAAAAATTAGCAACTTTCGTATAAGTTCTTGTATGTTTCGAGATAAAAGACTGAATGTTCAAAATTACAGCCAATAATAACATGTTGCTTTCTTCTTATTCCATATAGCGAAGATATAGCTCAGCCAAGTAGAGACCGCCCCTCCGGATTTGCCCAGTGTCTCGTTTGCACTTTCATAATCTGATCGGAAGTAGCCGTGCAGATGTTAAAATTGGACCTCGCGGGTTTGTCAAGGAGGGACCAGTATGAGGTAATATTCTTATATGCACCATTCGGGCTAACTTTGGAAATGGAAAGCCGAGTATTAAACTGGCTCTTCAAGTCTTTCACAACTGGCGCTATTATGCGGATAATTTCTTGCGTTGGCCAATCAGTGCCTGCCATATCCCCTCCTCCATGATTTCGACAGCCAGCTTTTCCAGATTAGTATATTCGGAAAGGAACCGTAGCTGCTTTACCATCTCTTGGCATTCCTTCTCGGGCTTCTTTTCTAAACCACCAGTTATAATAACAACAGTGAGGTCCCGAATCAAGCCCACCGCCAGCCCAGGAATACCCACGGCCTCATTAGTGTCATGAAGGAAGTTGTCAAGCAATTCCAGCCGCACTATAAACTGGTTATTGGAGTAATATATATCGGCAGCCTCCTTTAGTTGTTGTTTAGCGGCTTCATCGTCTGCGGAAGGAGAATCTCCTCGGTCCTGTGCAACCGATTTAGGCGCGATAGCTGTTTTGATATATTCCCAGCACACAGCCGCATCATGTACGATTGGGTTCGTGGGTTGCACGAGCCATTGGCGGAGAGCTGTAATACGTTTTTCACCATCAAGATTCTCGAGCACCATCTTGGTATGGTCGCTAAATGTCGCATTGTCGGGCCTTGGGAAGGTAGCAGGCGACGTTGTGTCAGGGTGGCTGTGTTTATCGGGGGTTGCATTAAGAGTCATTGTAGGAGGTGGTCGCATGGGAAAACTTAAAGCTATTAGCAGACTGAACGAGTGGTTTAAAAAAGAGTAAAGCCAGCATGGCAATAAGGTACTTTCAAGAAATGCTGGTGGCAGTGATTTTAAAGGGTGGAATTTGGAGGCTGGAAAATGAGACATCATATCTTGAAGCGGCTTTCGAATTGCCTGGGAGATGTCTCCCAGCATGGCAATAAGGTAATTTTAAGAAATGATGGTGCAGTGATTTTAAAGGGTGGAATTTGGAGGCTGGAAAATGAGACATCATATCTTGAAGCGGCTTTCAAAATGCCTGGAAGATGTCTCAAAGGCCCGCTTTGCATTGCTATTAGTAGCGGTAGTAGTAAAAAATATACCATCAGCTCTACATTAAGGTACTACTAGTAGTATATATACCATAAGGGCGAAGAAGGATTAGTTTATGAAATTAGCCTGGAGTAGACATGTGTTTTCAGTAGTGGGACTTGCGAACTCCTCGTGTGAGGACGTCGTAGTCCTAGATTTTCTCACTCGGGCCCTACAGTTGGTAAGGCTCTTATCAACTCTAGTAGAGTTGATTTAATTAGCCCCTGTATGACCCACTATGCCGGGGGTAGAGTTGATTTAGAAGACCGGGAGTAGAGTTGTTTTTTTATCGAGAGAAGGTTTTTGATGAAGATCCTTAGCTAGGTAAAAAGAAAGAAAACGAAAGTGCTTTTCAGATGAAATAGTAAAAGCCTCCAGAGGGGAGAGATTACTCTTCTTTATAGGAAAAAAACTTTACACTACCGGCGGGTGGGATTACATAGACATAGAGCAGTCGCAGCTGCATAAGGGCGTTGGGTGTCAAAATTCTATGTGATAAGGTTTTAGGCGGTAAGTTTGGAGGTCTGAAGTGAAAGTTTAGCCCTATTTAGCCCTCATTATCCATGATTGATACCTTCCTAGAGTAGTACTTCTACAGTATTTTGGCTTTTATTAACGGCTAAAGCAAACATTTGCGAGACACTGTAATGCCGATGCTTCCAATTCCGTATTAATGTTGAAAATGAATGCTCGTCAATCGTGATAACCGCTGTTTGGCCTCGTGATCAGAGCGGAACTAAAGTTACTCAGGCTGCCATACAGTGGGTGTATGGCGTCGCCAGGAGCTTGTTGCCCTTGAGCAGCGGAGCTTATGGTGCCGACCTTGGGCCAGACCCTAGAGACACCGCTCTGGCAGCTAAAGCTTTCGGGCCAAATGGACCGCGCCTGGCCCGGCTAAAACATAGCTTGGACTTATACAACGTGCTGGCCGAAGAAACAGAAGCTCATTATTCTTGTCACGGGAGAAAGCGGCGTCGGAAAGGACTACTGCGCCGACGTTTGGGTTCCTATGCTCGCTAGATCTGCCGACCAACGCCGCAAGGTACACAAGGCTAGCATTAGCGATGCCATCAAGCGAGAATATGCAACAGCTACCGGCGCTGACTTGGATCGTCTGCTATGGGATCGGGCTTACAAGGAACAACACCGGCGGTCATTGACGGCATTCTTCAAAGAACAGATGCGACAACATTCTTGGCTTCTAGAAAAACAATTTCTGAATGTGGTGTCCGGAGCCGCAGATGCGGATGTGCTGGTGATCACTGGGATGAGAGATGAGGCGCCTACTGCGACCTTGTCGCATCTAGTTCAGAATAGTAGATTACTCGACATTCGCGTCACAGCTAGCGAAAAGACGCGGCAGACTCGCCGGAAATGCCAAGCCGGCGACGATGATCGACACGAAATTCATGATTGCGAAAATCACAACAGTAGCGACAATGGCAGCGATTGTAAGTCGAATTCGACGACACTGGACTACTGCCCCAGCCTCGTCTTTGACAATGGAGCAACAGGAGATGAGGCGGTAAGGAGGTTTGCCCATACGTACCTGCTTCCCTTTCTCCATAGGGACCTGGAGCGACTGGCTAGTATGGTGCTCCCTGTGCCCGACTTCCCACGCACAGGCATCGAGTTCCGCCATGTGCTCAACATCGCCCAACAGCAAGGCGGGTTGGCTTTGTGCACTTCTTTACTACAAACTCACTTCATAAATGACTGGGATAAAATTGGTATGGTGGCCTGTTGCGAAGCGGGAGGCTTCGTGTTTGCATCGGCATTGGCCCAGAAAGTTGGCGTCCCCTTGGCGCTAATCCGCGAAGCCGGCAAGCTTCCCCCACCCATTGTTTCCATCGACAAGCCTTCATCACACATTTCATCTTCTGAACCTAACAATTTGAAAGGGAAGAAGCTTGAGATGAGCCGGGATTTGATTCTAAGGGGGCCATCGGTGGTGGTGGTGGATGATGTACTTGCCACAGGAAGGACGCTTTGTGCAATACTTCAACTATTAGCTAAAGCAGGCATCAGTAATGAGGATATTAGCATCATTGTTATAGCCGAATTTCCGATTCACCGTGGTCGGGAGCTGTTGTATCGTAATGGCTATGGTGGGATCAGAATTCAAAGCCTTTTGGTGTTTGGCGGGGCCTAGATAGAAAGAGTAATTAGAATTTTGGAGTGCAGCATTTTTTTTTACATGTTTCTATTCCTAATTCTGCATCCGTAGCGTTGCTTTTCAGCTTTGTGATGACGGGTGTGTCTGCCTATTGAAGAAGCTGCTGGATTGGTTGGTCAATTCGCTTCCTATGGTTACGCTTTGAACAGGTTTGGGGACTTGTTACGACCTGGTCCCTTGTAAGAAACCGATCCCTCGTAAAAGGCTAGTTCAGTCACAGTAATTGCTACAACTGTGATTATTGACCTAATCTTTGCCCTGTTGGCACTACGGTACGACGGATCGTAACACTAAGCTATAAAGCAGCGATTTTGCATCTCGTCATCAAGGGCTCTATCTATCTATTACTATATCCTTATTAGTGTGATACATACATACATACAGTATATACACACATCATATTAATTTTATTAGCCCACGTTTCTTTTCGGCTCAAGTCGACGATCTTACAGCACTTTGCATAATTCTGTTTATCTAATGTCCGGGATATATGACTACTTTTGACGCATTAAGGGCGGCCGATGACTATGGTTTACAATTCTGCTATCACGAAGCTAACAAAACACGTATTTCTTTTGCATCCAGCCAGAAACGTGGATCAAGTGGTAGCTTCAGAAGGAGGATCTTCATCATCCACGGCATTTCAAACTTGGCAACAGCTCGACAGAGCAGATAATGCAGAGCGAGAAACAAGCGTCAGCATGATGAAGAGCTTACAGGAGAGGCAATTATAGAGCTGCTTAAAGGTGCTATTTGTGTTCAGCAAGACTATGTTTTCAAGAGTATGCCCTAAGACCGTCAGAAACATCGATTGCACTGGTGCCTAACCTACCTTTAGAGACGTTGTCAAATGAGATAGAATTTGGTGCATGAATTAAAGAAGAAGCTTCTAAAAGAAAATTATTGCAATTATACCACCAGTAATACGCAGCAAATTATTCAAATCTTGTAGAAATCAAATTTGTTTAGCTCATAGCGGAAACAATTTTGATTTTTTTTTTGACTAGTTGATTTTAATTAATATATTTCTTCCGACGGCAGCACTCATGATCTCACCCTAGGAGATCTGCGTCGCCGACGCAAAAGCCGAGAGAGACCACTTTGACATCCGACTTTTGCTTCCTTCAGCCACTCAAGAAACTTACTTAAACCTCTTGGGGCACGTTTTTTAATTTTAACAAAGGGAGAATTTTCGATTCGTAAGCCTAAAGGCAAGGCCGGGTGGAATCCAGGTTTAAGGTCTTCCTGAAGTTTTGCGTATAGCGCTTTGCCTTCTTCGAACGATAATCGTTCTATAAGCCGAGCAGAAGTTGAGACGACTAGGCCTTTAAGACATAGATGCTCAAATCTACTTATGGCTTCAGATTGTACTGTGTCGGATCCTAGGCTCTCGTTATTCGTCTTTCGTAACGAGCATACGAAGGATTCAGACTCGCGCATCTCCGTCGGCATGATCAAATGACTGATTGTTGAAAGAAGACTATTTTCTAAATGCGGCGCTTCCTCATAGCTGTTTCGAATACAGACTGTCGACGCTGACGATGGCAAACTCAGGAGGGTGCTTTCATTTGGATCGGGATAAACAATTTTGTTTTGCTTAGAGAGTACTATTCTCGATGCTGTCTCTAATTTGATTCTCCAAAATCAGTATGAATTGGCGAGCGATTTCGGCCGTTCCAAGAACGGGCGGCAACCGCCATGCTGGATAGAGTCTCCCGTGATGTCTTGGCACATGAAGTTTTCCGTGTGTGAGGATAAATGCATTGCAAAGAAAGCATGCGTCTTTACTCGCACAGATCACTCGAGGCTGGAGAGTGAATTTATTCGTTTCGCAATGTAAGATGAGCTGAATCTCAGCATGAATCTTCGCTTCTAATAAAATTTTGTTCGTCTGGCCGATAAACCCTCTGCTAGCTTCTATCTCATTAGTGCCGAGTATATTGCAAATTCGATCCGCATTCCATTGCAGACCATGTAGTGAGCTAATTCTCGCGATCATCGATGAAAAAGTTGAAGTACATAGCGCTGCAGGCGTCTCTTCAAAGGCACTCAAAGGCGGTTTAATTAGTATGAAACGCAGTCTTTGGATTGAAGGATGCTTTTTCGATAGGTTACAAAGAAATCGCGCGGCTTCAAAGTATCTAGCAACCTTTCTGACGCCGTTCAACAAATACTTCCTCGAGCATGGATCCATCTCTTTGTTCGATATCGTTTCAATCACGTCTTGAAAGCCACTTGTCTTTGATAGATGATGGATGCTTCGCACTAAAGAACCAAGTTTATCAGGCGTCTCCTGCTTCTTCCAGGATTCGGCAAATTTGATGACGTCCCTCGATCTCTCCATAAAAGTGTGAAAAGGCTCAACAGAGCGCAGCGCCATAGCCTTTTGAAGCAGCAGAGTAATTGGCTGCCTAGTTGCTTTCCTGTAGGTATTCGTGAACCGCAGGCGGCAAAGGATTCGCTTGGAGCACATCGAAATAATTGCAGCAAATACCGCACCTTCGACGTCCGAATCGATGGCTGATTTTACGCTCAGTTGATATCAATAATATGCCAACATGCTCACTCACAATCTGGCGCTTGTGAGAACTGCGAGCAAATGCTCTCAAAGCCATCTTTTAACTGCTGCAGAATATGATTGCCGTCATCGAACTTGGCCTTATTTATGGCGATCAAGACATTCAAAGATTCCGTTGTTATAGCTTCCAGAATTGCAATGGCACATATATGATTTGGATTATCATTTATGCGAGAAAGAAATGCCAGGGCGCCGACTAAGTTGCGCTCTTCCTGGAAAGTAAGAGTATACTTCCCAGCGATACCGGCCGGGGGGGGCTTAATGAAGTTATCAGAAGGTGGAGTTGGTACATCATGAAGAAAATAAAGCAAGGCAATATTTTCTGCGCAAGCGACAAAAGGAGGCCTGGTGCACGAAGCAAACGCCATCGCCAGAGTTCGTATGATTTCTGTCGACCCCGCAGGTTAACAGTGAGAGGGGTTCGATGTTGACAGTAAGCTCAGGACGTGGGAGTAAAACAACGGTAGCACGGCAAAAGTTATTCCACATAGTCCGACCCTGCTACCAGTGCCGTTATGCCATCAGCCAATATGCACAATGACGTCGCTACAGAGGTTTTCATGTGTGCGCATACAATGTCAATAGGGCAAAAGATTGAGCTGGGAATTATCATGGCGGTACAAGTACGAGCAAAACTAGGTTCCTCTTCAGTTAAACCATTTACAGTACTGGGTATGTTTGCATGCCTTCATTTCTCGAGTTCAGCTTTTTCATCATTGAGCATCTAAGCGTAGGCCCCACCTAACGTAGTCCAGGCGATCGACCCCGCCCTGCGGATGGTGATGTACGGTATTTCGGTATCCATTATCCAGAATTTCGCTCATCCCTCATTTACATGGTCTGATATCAAGCATAATGGATCTTTTCTGTGATTTTTGTCTCTATTTAGCGGATTTTGAAACGGATGACGAGCTCAATGAACAATTAGAGGACGAGCATAATTTGTGCCTTACCTGCTGGCGTGAATATGATACTCAGGCAGATCTTACCGATCACAAAATTGACGAGCACCATCGGTGTTGGATTTGTCAAGTGTATTATTCTACTCATTCCAATCTGGAACATGTTTGTTTCCCATACCATAGATTTTCGATCAGCCTGACATCTTCTACACTAGCACAACCTGATTTATACTGCAAAGGTTGGCTGCCCTGCATGCCCTTTCTCGTCAACGCCATAGAAGACGCCACAGGATGCCACCTAGTAGAAAACGGTGCTAGCTTCCCAAAAAGGCGAAGATCGAAATGAGCGCAACAAGTGACGAAATAATGCTCTTCTTTACACCTACAACACGTGTTCGGTGCTACATATTAAGTACGTTTCTAGGGCTTCCTGTACAAGTATATAATCCGGAAACAAGCATCTCTCACACGCCTAGCCCCTTTGCCACTTTTAGTCTACACATTACCAAAACAAACTAATGGCTAGAATGGTATATATGTATTCACGACTTCTCTCAGTAGCTGTTCGGCGGTATCTTCATTAGCTGTGTAGGTATAATCTTGTTCGCCCTGAGCGAGTAGTCTAGGCACAATAGCTTTACGGTTGGGCGATTATAGTGCACGAGATAGTGATAATGCGTCGTAAGACGTTCTTTCTCTTCAAGTGTTGTGAGCTCACATAATACGACCGCCTCATAGAGACTTGATAGAGACTGAGAGTCGCAAACCGCATCAAATGGAAATGATTGTATGAAGAAAAGCTAGAGCCACTATTTTCTTCAGCGGTTTCATCAGGCAAGGAGTAATTTTACACAAAGCCAATAAAGCGACATATTATTGCTAGACGTGCCCGGCAATAGCTTCAGTCTGCTCAGACCAAGGCACAAGGACAACGGTTTCCATTCTAGATCTTTCTACAAATAACTGATGAGCCAACTACATCAACATACAACAAAATGTGAAGGCTTTTGCTGTGCTTCAAGGTCCTCCACTACATGAATGAGATTGTGGTAGCCTATTGTACTTCTCGCTTTTCCGTCCGGGAACGTTTGTTCGTCAAAGTAGAGATATCAGAAGTAGCTAAATGTTGTTCATTGGCTTTACTGGATGAACCTTCAAACCATATGCGCAAAGTCGAAGCACCGCCTTTTCCACAATTCTCGCACCTACATTGTAACGAGGATATCGGAACTATCTTGTGAAATCCACAAATGGAACAGTGTCCCAGAAGTGGTCGATGTAGACACGATTTGAGGAGATCACTCGCGAAATTGGGAACCTTATCAATTATTTCATCCAAAGATTGTTGGACATCAGCCTTGAGCGGGGGCCATGCAGTTCTCTCTCTGACAGACTCAATTATGATGCTGCGAAGTGTTCCACTTGCGGTGGGCTGCAAGGCGTAAATTTCCGACACTGATTGGAGGAAGAGGCATGTATTCTGTTCTTGCCTAACGGCCTCTTTGAATTTTTTCCACGATAAAGTGCGAAGCCCGTCGATGAGATATTTATCTGCTAGACTGAACATTCTAGCATGAAGGATCGTTGCAGAAGCTGTTTCGCATTGTCTAGACGAATCCATGGGCAAAATTTCATAATTACCAGTATACAGGTAGTCGACCATTTGTTGGACAGTTGTAAAACCGAAATCCTTGATTTCATATTTTCCAGAGGCCTCCTAAGCAGTTATCAATTGAGACAGGTCGTGATAATGCCGGGTTTTAGGGATGGAATTACCTTGTAGGAACCGTTACATGCTGCTTTAAAGACCGGGGATTGTATACAGACGATAAGCTTATGTACGTTTATTGCCTGGCCGTCGCATGTAAACTGAAGATCACAGAGATCCCCTTGTTCCCGGTCCCTAGCTAAACGTTAAGCTAATGCTATGTATGTTGATCGGTTACAAAGTAACTTACGTCATAATTCGTTTACGAAGCTCGTCTGAAGGCATGTTCCAGATATATGCACTCTTTGCCGATCTTGACGTAGACGGGTAGATGGATGTGGCAGCTTCTTGCAACAACTCTGCGTCAACAACAAGCGAGTTCGGATTGTAATAGAAACAAAGCTGTAGCGCCTGCCACTGACAAAAGGGTGGGCTGTTGTAGGAATGCACATTAATGTACCGCGTTCAAATACTACAGCAACGAAATATTTCAGTAACTAAACTTTTGTTGAACATTAGGAGCCCAGCTATCGAATAATAAGTCAATGTCTACATATGCATAAGAATGCACGCATGAAGAGATGATTCATAACACGATATGGGGCGATCTTGGGTTGAACTTCGTCGCTTCTGAAATTTAAGGAGCCTGCAGTATTCTGCGTTCCACAGTGTTAATATAGATGTATGCCTTTTTGGCGTAGCGATATTACGGAATGAGAGGTAGCCGGAAGCATCGGCATTGTCATGTCACAACGAGTAAGCCGACGTACTACAAGTGTACTTTATCTAACCATCTCCATCAACCCAGTGTGTAACCTAATCTGACGTTCTGGAGAGTCTCCAGATCAAGACAACCGAAACAGCCAAACAAATATTGGCCACGAGTAAGGCTTGTCTCAGTACCTACTGTACGATGTGCTTAAAAAGCCGCACAGAGTTGTAGGAAACTAAAAGAGTGCGGCTGGAGGGCTTGCGAAGCTCGTCTATGGTTTATCTCTTACGTCTGCGAATAATCTTGCGTGCAATTGAGCTAATCTAGAAGGAACTCATTAAGCGGGGAGGCTCATTAAGTAACCCACGCGTGCCATGAAGGCCTCGTTAACCGCAAGACCGTATGGAGCAGGAATTTGCTTTGAGAATTTTTAAAGAGTACAGTTATTTTTCGAACCTTGCTCGGTGGAGCGGTCACATCGAAGCATATGAATAGTGCTGGCCTCGGATTTTAGATCCACATGAATTATAGTGTTGTCCAGACGTGCCTTCGTCCTCTTTATCAACGCAAACGCGAAATCTGATGATTGATCTATCAGCTCATTGAAGTCCCTCGTTACCAACTGTATCTTCAATATGAAGGCGCGGTAATCGATCAATAAAGCAACAGGCACGACATGTAACCATCTAGTTGCTACATATAAGACTTATGGGGATGATTACCTCCTTTGCAAAAATCTTCTTCAACTAAGTTTGAAAGATCCTTAGATTTGTCGATCTTCTCCAACCTACGACACATATGACGAATAAGAGCTTGTTCGTTCACGGAGGTAAGTTGTTTAGAAAACCTCGCGTTATTTGCAGGCTCGAGAAGCTTCACCTGTGTCGTGCCATTTGAAGTATCCGGCTTCGGCCGACTAGCCCCACGTTGTAACTTCTTTTATATGCTTGGGAATTCAACATGAACATTAAGCTGCTTATTCTCTGTTTTTTGTGTTTATATGTTTATTGATGTACTTATTCGCATGGATTTGATGGAGCTACCATACCGTCTGACAAACTGAGGCCGGTGCGATTTACAGGTTCCGCCATGGTTATTCGAAATAGGCGATCATAATACTAATGAAAATTGCACGAAGATTACTGCTTCAATGATGCATTGAGTTCGTCGATGGAATGCGTACCTACGGATCAATTATAGGCAGGTATTACACCCTCGAATGGACACCACGAAGTTTCTGAGACATTTTGTTGGCAAGTATCGGACCACGAACAAGGTTATGAGAGCGAGGAAAGAGGAGGAGTGAGAGAAGCAGCAGTGTCGCAAACGGAGGTTTCGATGATGCAATGACCGACTATTCGTCGCCATTCCCCCAATGGCTACACTTTTGTGTGCTGGGACTTGCGTTTTGGTGGGGCTTGTCGACGAATCCGGTAGCAGGCATGATCTCTGACGAGTTGTAGGTCTTGTTAGCAGCCACCTAGACAAAAGCAATGCTGTACAGGAGCAGAGTGGAGTGTTTGTGGGTCTGCTGCTCTCGGAGAGGGCCTATAGCCATCTCGATGTGGCGATACAGGCCGCAGGTATGCTTCCATCTCAATAGTCACTACGATTGGCTTGTACGCCGTGCTGCTGGGACTGCTCATGATACCAACATTTCAAGCTTACGCTATATATTTGCATGTCATCCGGCAGGGTGTGAAAGGATATCCTTGCCAGGATCCAATATCAGATGCATGAAAGGTTCTCAAGTATAATTGTCTGTCAAAATTGTGATCGCATGGTACAACTTGATGGATTCCTAAACTTCCTAACCAGTGACATTGGTCGAGCCGTTACCGAGTCCCGCTTCGAAAAGCACTTCCGTCTTAATGCATGCCACCTGCAATCTCGGCTCATCCTCAAAAATGGCGGGTAGCCCGTTACGAGTCTTGTTGCACTTTGCACCGCATCGCTCCGGATGTCCGCGATGTTCGGCGACAGCTCGGGGACATACAAAAACCTTTGAACTCCCAAAGGCATATGAGAAATCGAACTTGGTGTTGGCGTTCACAGTATTGAAGTGTCCCGGCAGTGCCTGCAAGATATTGCTGCCACCAAAGATATCGATACTGTATCGAACCCTGACGACAGCCAGATAACGCTCGTTCTGGATCCAATCCTCCAATTTGGAGATACCAAAATATTTTGCCTCGCCGAGGAGAGCCAGATACATTGCGTAGTCATGGGACTGCGTCGCAACATTGAAGAACAGCGGAGGATTGCCACTCCGAAGATAGCGGAGAACGTGTTCGAACAGGGCTGGATCCGCATCCACAAAGTACGAGCCATCTTCGTCAGCGTCGTTCCAGCTACCGGAAAGACGAGCACGAAAATACTCGCTTTCGCCCACGAGCGTATTATAGGTCGTCGTAAATCGCCGCTCGCCGACCAGTAGCGTGACGCGTGTCATGCTAGCTGCGCTGCTGTTATATTCCGAAAGAAAGGCCATGATCTGATCGTCACTGTCGAAACTCCTTGAGTGAAAGATGACGGATGTGGATGTTACAGTACAAGCTGGTCTACAGTTCTACATTTGACTTTTGGTGATTGAGTTACTCTATCATCTCGCTCGCATGAATCATGACAAGAATACCGTTGCATAACGCAGTGATCCATTTCACGCTGTCTTTCGCTAGTATAGGGTATAATTAGACTTTGACTACGTATGTCAATCCTCTTACTAAGATCAATATATATCCATGCAAAGTAGCGACGCTGCTGTCACCGAAGAGCATTCTCTCGAAACTCTAAATAGCGACGAAAGTAGTGCAGCACTTTAACTTTAGATGGACTGGTATGACGAAAAGGGGAGGAAGTCACGAGTTAAGAGCTCTAATAAGCTCGTGAAACGAACGGTCAGTCGCAGGTTGCTTCTCCTCTGGCTCTGTTTAGACATGATCTGCCATGTCGTGGCGTCAGACCGTGTCCTGACATTCTCCCTCATGTCGCTCTGCCAAGCCTCGTCGAGATACGCAGAGAGCGAAATGCGCGGACCTCATTGCAGAACATATATACATTACCCGTCCGTGGTACTGCGACGAGTGACGCGTACTCCACAGCGCAGAGCAGGCCGCGCGCTGGACCTTGTTCCGGTGAAGCAAAAGCTGCGGCTTCATAATATTTGAAAAGGTAGGACTACGACACCATCAGATGATGAGTATATAGATCCCACTACTGTAAGACTAGCCGCTAGTAAGTTAATATATACGTCTACTCTAAGTAAGCAGTTTAATTTGATAAACTAACCCTTTCTAAGCCTCTTGGTAAATATACTATTTAGACTTACCTTAAATTACTGGTAGTACCTCTGATGTAGAACCGAGGGTTTATTACCACGACTATCAGCACCGCAAGCGGACCTTTAAGACATCTCCCAGGCATTTTGAAAGCCACTTTTAGATACGATGACTTATTTTCCAGCCTCTGCATTCCACTTTATAGCACCGCGCCCTTAGTCCTAAGACATAATTCTAGTGCGAAAGTGCCTGGCTTGTGGAGCCTTGGGTTGGACTAATAGCGGGCCGCCACAACTCTCTATGGTCCTGTGTTATCTCTGTGGGGGCCGAGTAGTCTCGGCATCTGGCGGAGTCAGTGGAATGTCGGTATCAAAGAATCTAACTTGAACCAGTAGATCAGCCAATCTTTCCAAACCCTAATGCGATCTGCTGTCGACGGCACGTATACTTCTTTTTTTTTTTTCTCTCAATTCCGTTTTAGGCTACAATAAGCTGGTCTGCGCCGTCATTCAAGATCTTAACCGCAATTGTGAGAGAGAGGGTTGAAGATGTCGGGTACTATAAGGTGGCCGCCAGCGTTCCTAAGACTAGTGGAGCTTCTAGAAAGGCCATCTTGTTGTCCAGACAAGACTACATCAAGAATTTCGTGAAAATGATGAATAAAAGGCGTGGTCGAGAGCTACCAAACTTCTTTAGTCCGAGGACTTGTCACGGTTTCTTTAGAACCTAATTATTGCCATGGGAGCCTTTTGTTCAAAGGCACCTTTGAAAAAGTCTGGAGGGCCGCCAAAAAATTTCTATAGCCTAAAGTGGCACGTCGGTTCCGCATTTAGTGACAAAAACGCCAAAATTCCTTCGGCCCATTTTGTATCGGCGTGGGCCTGGGATCTCTCGGCAGGTTCTGAAGGCAAAAAATATCCCCCCTGGTATGATTTGCAGCTCTGACTAAAGCACGGCTACGCTTCCTCCCCTGTCTATTAACTAATAAAAGCCACATCATAGTATATTTAAATTACTCTCCGCATCCCTAATAATTGTCGAGTATCCGTTTTTGCGTTACGGAGTGAGAGGCAACCGGAAGCATCATCATTGTAGTATCACACAAATTTTCATAGATAATGAGGGTTAAATAGGGGCTAAAGCTTTTTACCGAACCTCCACACCTACCGCCTTAAACCTAATCACACAAAGTTCCGCCACCTAACTCTTTTATGCAGCTGGGGCTTTTCTATGTCTACCCTCATGTCGGAACCAGAGGTCCGCCATGTATAATCCCACCCACCGGTAATTTATAGTTGTTCCTATAAAGAAGAGTATTCCTCTTTTCGGGGTGTTTTTAGTATTTTCAAAGCATTTTTGTTTCCTTATTATCTAGCTAAGGATTTTCTTCAAGATTTAGTAGCATCTATTTTACTCACTGTGCTTATGTAACCGGAAGAGCGAAAAACAACATATCTTTAACATCCTATTTGCCTTATTTCCTCTTATATAACCTGGCATAGGCATCGTCGAATTACACCGGAAGCCTCCTTATTGAAATGGGGGAGAACCACTCTCCTGAGGATGAATAGCTCTTGACCTAACGCGCGGAAAGAACTTGCCAAGAAGCAAGTTGAAGCACGAGCACTATTACAACTTGAGGCAGAGACCAATTCTATAGCCAGTTCGACAGCCTACCCAACACCTACAACTACCCCCACTACCCTGTCAGATACAGCATCGATAAGAGAGACAGGTTTTGCGTCGGTAACAGCAATGGAGCACCATCCTGAAGCAGGCAAATCATTTATGATAAGAACTAGGCAAATATCTGTGAGGGTTCTATCACAGCGATCTTTCTTGTAGGTAACCCATTGCAATCTCTCGATTGCTTTCGCTGCCTGGGCTCTGCGTTCGCCAAGGAATGATAGGCTTCGGGGCCACGTTGTTTGCGGGCCTAAGGGGTCGCAGCCTCCAGAGACACTAACACTAGTGCCCGCAGCGCGATTGGGCCTCGTCTGCCACTGAGCTTTGAAGGCGATGTGTTGAACAGCGGCGATGATCTCCGCCAACGACATTTCCTAGATCTCCAGTGCGTCGAGTGTTTTGTTGCTGTCTTGCATGGCCAGACGGCCGCTGCCACTTTTTCATCGTCGATCGTTTTTAAAGCCGCGACCAGGCGAGAGAGCCGTTTTTGGAGAAGGTTCATAGGGGCCATATCTCTATACTTGTAGGCGCGCATTCAAATATTTGAGGCATAATCTACTATTGGGACTACCTTGCCGGAAAACAACCGTCGGGCAGTTGCGGTGGGCAGGCTTTTGAATCTCGTCAACTCTAATGCTGCTTGGAGGCCTTTCGACGCCGCTCTAGCGATGTGTTGCTCAAATTTGAGTTACATATCCATAATTAAAACTAGAATTTCCAACGTTGCCCGCTTCTTTGCTTCTAATCTAAGGCCTGACCAATGATGGATTCGAAGTCTGCCACGGTTGAGTTGGGCCGTTGAGCTCGCCACCCAAGCTGTGAAGAAGTCCACAAACGCAATTACGCCCCTGTTTGCCTCGATGTGTCATAGCAGAATCAACTTGTAGCAAGCGCAAAGCATTGCAAACACGATATTTTGATTATAACAGTAATTGGAAAGCTTTGCTGCCTAATTTTCTTGCCTAAATAACCACTTATCAAACTGCACTGTATTCAGATACTTTGGTACCGAATCCCTTGTCGTTTGCCACTTCCTGGAGCATACTTCAAAGCTGCTATGATCTGCTGGCTTTACTGCGAGAGACTTCACCCTCAGTGTCTCTGGACTATCCTCACCCTCACAGATAACCCTGGCCTTATAGGCTCTCTCTGCAAACATACTGGCCCGCGCTTGATCCCCATGCGCGATGCTAATTTGGAAAGCGTCGTAGTAGAGCCTAGCAATCATCGGACTAGCAGCGCCATCAAACTCCTGCTCCAGAACTTGAAGCATCAAAAAGCAATCACTCAGGCTCTCACGTGGGCTGTTCATCATGCGAAAGGGGTCACCAATGGCTTTATCGAGACTCTGGATCTGAACACGCCTGTTGTCGCTGGCTTTGAGTAAGTCGGTTGGGAGAGAGCAACCATTGCAATCACATCTGAAACCGAAGGCGTCTTTCAAAAATACCTCTCGTTCCCTTGAGGCCCCTCCATGATCATAGGTAATTGTAATCTCTGCTCCTCTCTCAATTGATCGAATGGCGTAGATGGTTTCGTGCTTCTCGGCACTATTCCAGTTGTTGTGAGCGTTCGGGATACAGCTGTGGTTGATGAAACAAGCTGTGGGGTATACACCGCCAATGGGCGACCCGGATCCACACGGCAGAGCATTCGTCCTGAAGATGCCGCCGAACGGATACTTCCCTTGGAAGTTGTTGTGAAGAGAAAGGAACTGCCGTTGTGATGTTTTTGACATTGCCTTTAATTTCTTCGCGAGAAACAACTCCAGCTTATCAGAAGGCATAGGTCCAGCTGTGAGAAGTGGCTTTTCGCAAATAATTCGAGTGCCTTTAGATATGTTGAACCGGGCAACTAACCCTCTACCTCTGCCGGGGATATCCTGAATCTCAAATAGTGCAATTCCCTGCTCCTTGACAGGATCGATTTCGCTAAGAGGTGGGGTAATGCTAGCTTGAGTTTCGAGTACATCGGGCTACGAATAAAGTGTTAAAATACTTTCCGTCGACCAAGAACGTGGTATAAACACAACGTACCTGCTCATAAGACCGGATCGACTCGTTGACTTTCTCCCAGTCATGAACACCGTATTGGTTGGCATTTTCGTTCCAATATTGAACACGCGAGCCAAAATGGGCCTTTGCAACACGTGTGACTGTGTTGATATAACGTTCTACTCCTGAGCTACTCGCGATGGCCCCGGAGACTTTCGAACTGAACCGCAAAAACTTGTGACCCTCAAAAGGAAGCTTAGGATGCTCGCCCGCGTTGAAGTTGATGTAATTCGGCATTATTTGGACCTGGACGTCATCTTTGTATTGCTCTTTAATGAGGTCGATAAAGCGTCCCCAGTTTTGTTTGTCAACACCTCCTTTAGACAAAGGAGGGTCCATATCGAATCCAGCGTCAATTCCCATGACTGCAGGCAGTTCTAAGTAAAGTCACTCAGATAGTACAGTACTAGAGGATAGGATTTGAGAGGAATTAGCTCTCTATTGCAATACTATAGCAGGAGAAAAGTTGGGAAAGGCAGAGAGTTAACTAATGATGCTGTGTAACCAGATAAGCAAAGGACACAAAGACACCGATGATATATGGGCAGCGCACGTGCCAATACTATAGCAAAGAGAGCGGGGTGGGTTACATCTGTGATTAAACAAAGCCTTCTGCTATCACAGTATTCCACGCGGCAAATACGGCCCAATACCACATAACTCCAACCAATATATATAAACTTTTTACAGCTGAAATGATTATCCCAGTGGGTAAAAAGAGTGCAGAAAGGTATTTAATGAAGTATTTATTTACTGTCCAGTTCGGCGTGTACTTAGCTTATAAGGAAAACTCCGTCGCTCGACGTCCTTCAGGTAAGAGAAGCACAAAGCGTTACAGTTTCCATTTTAGGTTAGCCAAGTGTTACATCTGCCTTATTGGACTTAGCGCCTTTTACATACCCGAGTTGCTTGTTGCAGCTAATATTTATATAGGTTGCTTAGGGTTGTTTTCTCAGAAGTAAGCGATATGAACTATATTGCTCTTTTACTTCATGTTATTCTTGAAAAAGCAATCTCATAAAGTAAAATTGCTATTGTTGTTATCCTTACTAATATGTACGCGTATATAATCGTGCAATATTACACTGGTCCCAAGTTGCACACCTATTACAGAGAAGCAATCATCGTGAGTTGGCATGGAGCAAATCTGGTTGGAACTGTCGTATCGCAGATATAACTTGTAGCCAAATAGACATTGATGCTACTAGTACGCCACACGATTGATTCTCCACGTCTGTCTGTCAGCTATAATTTCTCTTACCACCAATATTTCTCCTCCTCAAATTTGTCCCATTTGCTTTGCAGAGTACTGACATCAATCCCACTCTTACTTCTCTGTCCAGATTTGCGCTGACCTTGAAAGTATATACGCTGATAATCGAAGTATCCCTTGATACGCCCTCCACCAAGAAATCTGATCCAGCCTTCATTTCCATCGCCGGCGAAGCCTGAATTTTCACCAGTCTCATAGCCGCGCCACCGAAACGGCACTCTTTTATTGGAAGAGCGCCTGGGCCTCTCTTCAAAGTAAATCAGACCTTCAATCAACCCCAAATCGAATTGGCCCCATAATTTAGAACCGGAAATCGTCAGATCCAGCTCAAAGTCGGAGCCGCAATATGGCCATTCGTCAGTTACATATGGCGATGAAATATCGTATCGGCCGTTAAGAAGGCCGAGTGGTGCTAGGGCTGCTTTCTCATTCTCATCGATTTCGTCTTCCCCATCATATTCGGAGTAGGGTGGGGGGGAATCTTCACTAAGATTGCTGTGGTTATCATCGTTTTGCATGACAGGAGCAGGAATGCGACCGCGCGCCATGGCTGCATTGCTTCGTCGAGCAGTTTGTTTCGGCCGACAAACAGGCGACGAATCCAATGTTATTTTCGGGTCGCCACGAGCTAGTTTTTGGGAAATGCCAGCGCGACGCGGACGGGATGTCTTCGCTTTCGCTAAATCAGAGGACAAAGCAGTTCTATCTTCTGTTCTCCAGCGTAGTATTCTTGGTTGTTCGAGCCTTTTTGGCTCCCGATTGATTGGTAGAATTGCTCGCCATTCCATCGGTCTCAACCATCACACTAATAGGAATATCGGCTTTTCTTTAAACTCCGACTCTGGTGGTGGAGATAGTTCTTGCTGTTTTCTTCGGCCTAGATCCGTCCTTCGCTTCGGCCTTCTTAGCTTCCTTGTCTTGCTTCATCCACTCTTTTTTTTAGCTTGCTTTCCAATTCGGTAATGGACGATGGCACTAGGAGCTGCTCTGAATTAACAGCATCGAGCAGTCGCATTCGTGCTACGGACTTGATTTTCGATTTTTGGAGGCCATAATGAATGAGCTGCGCTTCAAACCAGTGTGCAGGATGGTCTTTGTAACTGCCAGATGTGAAATGTTTCCTAAGTTCTTCAATTGTTGCACGGCGGTGGCGCTTCTGACCTGAAGTTTGGACAAAGAGCTCACCGTTGAAGAAGAGAAAGGTACCGGCCCAGGCAGCCACTGCAGACGACTGAGGCATTTCTGCGGTTAGTGAAAGTCATAGATGGTGATATAGATGGTGATATCACGCTTCTAGCTGTTGTGTACGAGTAACGCATGGGTGCCTTAACGCCATCGATACGCCCCTTTTTTAACCGCGTGTTCGGCGCGGTATCGGGTTTAGGATAATCCGGAGCAGAGTGCTGATGCTGGCGATGGGCGTTGCATAGACAAATAGCTAATCAATTGCTAAATTCAACATCCTTTGGAGTGTGAGCATAGCACTCCGAGAAACACCTCCGGCCCAAATACACCAAGTACTTGTGTGCCCTAGCAACGACAGAGAAGTAGATCAGCTGCGCCATCGGCCTCAGCACCATGGGTATCGTGCATTTGCTCGGGGAGCACTTGCTACGGAGAAGATGATGACTTGCTCCATTCAGAAGGCATACTCCCACTCATCGATGCGCTGCTCAGGCCAACTTGTTTCTCGCGCAAATGGGATTGCCCCGGGATCTGGCCTCTGGGCTGTTTTACCCGTGAGTTGGTCGAGTAGCATTTGCTACTCCTTGCGTAGCTTGTGTAGATCTTTTGCCGGTCGAGCTTGGGGTCGCTAACCCGCGGCGGCGACTGCTTACTTCCTCAGAGGGAGAAGCAAGATCAGGTAATCTTTGTACGGGCAAAAGTAAATTAAAATCTACCTCCGGAGGTAAAGTTGGTTTACTTTTTTAAAGGTAGAGGTGAAATATTCTACTTCTGGAGGTAGACGTAAAGTTAGCTTAATTAGCTTCCTTTAACAGAGGTAGTTGCCTATCTTTTTACTATATTATATTTTGTATTCTACTTAAAATCAACGAAGCGCTATACGGAAAAGTGTAGTGCATAATAACTATATTCTAGTAGATAAGTGCTGTATTTTAGTGGATGAGTACTGTGTTTTAGTGGATGAGTACTGTGTTTTAGTGGATAAGCACTTGAAGTTGTAGTACCTGCTCTACAAACCCCGTTATTTTTGGATACCAAATAAGCCTGCTTGAATACCAGATAAACCGTCCTTATTATTATTAAAAGGAAAAATGGTTATGAATATGTTGCTTCTCATGTTTTCGAAGAAGAATCAAATAGGAAACTGCATACCTGCCCTGGTAATTAAACTATCTTACAGATACATGGCTCCATATCCTTTACTTGAATGAGAGACGAACACCTATCTACCCAATCGCGACTATTGCTCTTAAATACAAACCAGATAAACCCTGCGCATCTTTCGTTTGATCCACCAGCTTTTTGCGCAGCTTGTATAAATCTTCCGCTAGTCACAGCTTCGGCCGCTTACCCTGCACCTCAATCCACCCAGAGTATGCACTCCCTTGTGTTCTACCCACCTAACTTAGTGGTACCCCTTTTTATGATTCTCCTTTTCATTATGATTAACTGCTATATTTTTACTTACATATTTTCTTGGCCATGTTGCTCACCTGATAACCTCTCTTATCGTTGGTGCCATCCCTTGGGAATGCGCTCGGCCGTAGACACTAGAGCATTTTGGTAACCATATTTGCAGCCAGTAATGATGGCTCTTTCCTTGATCCCACACTAAATGTGCTTGAATTAATCTTCGCATCCAGCGTTTCTATCGATGCTGCCACTGTTAGCATCAGCATTAGCATCACATCACAAAGCGAGTCCCCAAGACACTCTCAAGACAGCAGTACGCTGTAGCATCATGGTCTAGCACGCTCTGGTCTTCGTTATACTGCCGAATCTCATTGAACTCAAGCTATACTAGGTTAGGTATTGGGCCTAGCGTATATCGCTGCCGCCACGCGTGCATTGTCGTAATGTGTGTTGAATGTCTTGGCCGCTTAGGCCATGTCCCACGCAAAGGCTGCATTTGCCTTCCCACCATTCGATCTAGTTTTTCAACTGCCGACGGCTGGAATGAAGAAGCATTGCTCATCATTATGCGCATACTTCATGGTCGAACAACAATGGTACCACACGCAGTCAATCTTGAACTGCTAGCTAAAGTAGCTGTCATTATTGATTACTATAAATGTCACGAGGCCACTCATTTCTTCACAAAAGCGTGGATTGATAAATTAGATGAACATCTTCCTATATCCTTCGGAAGAAGTCTATTGCTTAGGTTCTTGGTATCCTGGGTGTTTTCAGAAGCCGAAACTTTCCGAAATTTATCGCAAATCATCATCAGAGAGAGCAGAGGTCCGGTCAACACTCAAGGCTTACCAATTCCAAAGTCTATTATCGGTGAGACATAAGACCATACAATAGGTTTACCGCCAGTAAGCAGCTAACCATACCACCAGACGCTCTTGATAAGAAAAGGCAAGATATTGTATCTGGGGTTATTTCGGGTCTTACTAACTTAAAAGCGCAGTTTTGTAAAACTGCAGATGAATGTTCGTTTGAGTGCTCTACAATGACGTTGGGCGCTCTTCTGAAGGGTATGAATACAATGGGCCTTGATCCTCCGCCAACATCACCATTTCAGGGCTATAGTTTCATGGCCTTGGAAGAGACTGTCAAAAAGATCCGGCAGCCATATTACAACAGCATCAATTATAGAATCTCTCAGCCCACTAGGCAGCCAACATCTGGTGGGTATGGGTATCAATACTCGAAACCTGAGCCTCGCAGTTGCAGTCTTATAGCAAAGATTCATTTAATAATCGATGGACAGCTGACAAGGCAAACGGGTTGGAGTTAAAAGATTTTACCAATGAAAGCTGAGCAGGCAGACAAGCGCGCCACGGGGTAGACGCCGGTAAGCAAGTAACAACAGCCCCTTTAAGGGCAAAAAAAAAAAAAAAAAAAAAAAAAGAAGTCGTCAGGGTATTGATTACATATCAACTTGGATCTAACTTATAGTGAACAGCTAGATGAAATGTAATATGGATCCGTTTGTTCATTTCCCCGATTCCCCTTTTGTTATTTGCCGCGTTTGCAAGTTTGCATGTGAGGCCAATGAAGTAACAGCCCATTTACGGCAACAGCATATCCCGGCCACAGCAGCAGAGGCTAGACGAATAAGCGATGTTGTGAAAGCAATCCCGGGCATCATCAACACACAGGGAGAGTTACGCTAGTGGTTCAGTGCCTCACCAACAACGCCACCAATCCCCATCATTCCGCCACCAGAACCGGATGGGTTAGGATGCGATGAATGCCCGTATGTGGCCTGAGCTAAAAAGACCATAGGAGCACATTATCGAAACAAGCATAAGTGGGTTAACGATCGGGGACCGGGCCAATGGGCCAAGAAGTTAGGAGCCGAGGAGGACCGGGCCTTGCCGTGGACGTGGAGAACAGGCGTTCAATGCCAGAGATGTTTCCCGTCGCGTGTGGCAAGTAGTTGATTCGAGGTTGGCTGGGGATTGTCGCCGTACGTCAAGTTGGATCAGGATACCCACGGGATCGAAAAGGAAGCTGAGTTTTTGAACCGAATCCACCGCGAAGATGAAGAGGCGTTTGTGAAAGTCCAGGGCAGCCATCAAAACAGTGGACGACAAATGGGAAGCCGATCGATGGTTAAATCGCGTTGGGTGGGCGACCCATTTGAAGGACGTTGACACAGACGATTTGCAAAAGGCAGTGCGTCCGATTGAGGAGCATGAGGTCGAGTTATAGAATACGTGAGCCGTTTTTGATCAGGTATTAGACACCGCGTATGTCGTGGCCGTCAATCGCAGTCCAGGCACGGTCGAGTTGTACGAAGTTGAGCGGAAGGAAGTATACATCATGCGCGAAACGCCGTTTAATGAGAGGATGGAGCCCAAGTCGTGGGAAAATTACAAAGATAAGTGGCGCATATTGATGTGTATTTGGCAGCAGATGGAGTTGTTAGATGAAGACGAGCGGCCGCCATATCGATTAACAACCAAGCAAGCAAAGCGGTAGGATAGGTTCCGCATAGCCGTAAAGGCCGTGGTGTCGGGATCCGACAAGATTGGTAGGTACACCGACGATAGATTGCGACGGGCATGTTTAGATATGGTGGTCAGCATGCTGGATCGCCCGTTGCAGAACGGAAACCGTTATGAAAATATCATCATCAGCGCATTGGCAGTGATGGGAATGGGCAATCATGGCCGTTGGATGAGCGTGTTAAATTATACGCCAAAATGTTCAGCAGTCATCAAGGTTGCAAAATATTTGGCGTTGTATCAATCCGTATTGGAGAGGGGAGAAAAAATCGCCCGGTTACACCACACGATGAGCAGGGTAAAGACAGAGGAGAAGGCAACGGGATTATTCCGCATTGTACGGCAAAGGTGCGGCGATTCATGACGCGGGTTTCGGACGAAGCAGACGCGGACCCGACGCCGATGAATTGGATCATCAACACGCGGACATACGGATTAAAGATCCAATACACAACACCCGGAGGAGAGAGCATCGATTGGCGAGGAGACAAGATCATACACAGCAACTGCAGAGGGTAGTTTCGGAACTCGGCGACCAATGGCATTGAAGAGGTAGATTGGATTAGAATAAAAGCTGTTAGTCGGGGAAGCATCGTCCTCTGTGGATTGTATATCATTAGCAAAGATTGGTGGGGAGTCCATTTTCTAATTATGCATGAGCAAAGTGAGACAATGATGCTCAAGCTACGATAATTATTGAGACTTGGAAGCAGAAGTCAGCTGGATTAGTGCATCCGGTCCACAATGCCGGCGGGAAGCAGTATATCAGCTGTTGTTCCCGCGAAACGGGGTGTGCGTGCTGGGTAAGCGTTTTCACGCCATGGGCGGCAGAGTTATACCGGCTGCGGTCTGGTTTGACGGGTAGTGCTGGACTTGTGCGCTGCTGTAGCTTTGGTAAATCAATGGCAGCAGGATATCGTCCATCCACAGTTGGAAGTCTTCGTCGCGAAGCTTGCTGCTCTTCTGTTCGGCTCGGTATAGCCCAGGGAAGAGAAAGTACAAGGATATGTCCTCAAAGCCAATGATGCGGCCGAACGTATCATGAGGTACTTGGTGCACGCGCCGGCAGATTTGACGCCAAATTCCATTCTGGTCATTGTATGTCACCTGGATTGGCCGAAGGTGCAGATCGCACTGGAGTCTGGGAAAGTCATCCTGGTGGGAGGCCAACGGATGCCGCGCTTGGCAACGGCAAGGCTGTTAGGGAACCCTATGATGCTATCTACATCAGAGATAACGCCCACACCGCCCGAGACTCTCTCATCTTGTACAGAGAGATGCAAGGTATCTCAACTTCAGATTCGAGGCAACAGAAGATCTTCCTTCTAGATTCAGGGTTACTTGCCCGGCCAGGTCATCTTTCTGGCTCGCAATGGTCTTGCTGCCATGGACATCAGCGCCCAATCCTGTTGTAGACTCCAAATACTGGTCAAGGCTGATCTGTTCATTTGGGCTTTCCAAGCGGCGTTGGTCTGCTGCTCGGTAGCAGTCGCTGCAACATCCCCGAAACTTAAGGAGTTGCTCTCCCATTTCTCGCGCAAGATGCCCGGCCGCGTCTAGTTCATCGTCCCCGGGCTGGGGTAAGGATTCTAAGCCTGCGTCAGGAATAAAGGCCTCATCCACATTTGGGCTGTTGGCATCTGCGGGAGTTCCAGCGTCCAAGGCAGCTGGCTCTTCCGTATCCTTTATGTCTCCTTCGTTTGCTTGCAGTATACCAGCAGGATTGACCGGCGAATATAGATCACTAAGTATGTTTGCCGGTTGCAGAGACGGGACTGGGTTGTAGAAGCTGGTATGCGCTTTATCGCGCTGTATAGAGGAAGCGTTCTGCCGCGCCGCTCGCTTCCGTTTTACATCCCAATCGATTCCTGCCGTCAAAATGGAGCTGCAACTAATACTGTATTAACCAATATTAGTAGAATGTTTTTGCTTTCAGAATCTGCTGAGATATAGGGGTTAGGTGGCTATTTCGCTGGACCTCTTACGGAAACTTAGCGAGACGTACGGAGTAGAATGGCCTAGTATTACATGATCCGCGTTTGCTTTATCGATAAAGAATCAACTGTACTCCCGGCCTTCTATATCAATTCTACCCCTGGCACAGTGTGTCATACAAGAGTTAATTAAATCAACTCAACTAGAGTTGATCAGAGTCTTACCTTTGAAAGGCATCACCCCCCTCACCTATCTACTAGGCCCCGAGGGATACAAACATTTCCAAACACTAGTGGAAGACACGAGCCCTTATGGCCCTGCCCCACAAGATACAGATTGACCAACACTTTCCTTTGTTCCAATGACACGTAGCGAACACAGACTCTGAACCAGCGGCTCCTACCGTCCTATTGCCCAGAAGAGATTTAAATAACTAGCTTCTTAGTGGACGTTAAAAAGAAAACAAATAAACAAACAAACATAGTACAGATACTGTATAAAATATTCATCTCAATTGATTCCAAGTGTAGCTATGTTTATACTAACAATTGTTAACGCCACCCACTGAAAGAACCTTGAGGCTATTGGGAGTTACGTTTTTCGGAGTACATGATATATTCAAAAGCCATTGAGTTAACTTGTTTCAATACGGTTTGTATACAGTCTTTAGCAATCAAACGCTGCCTATGATCATAAAGAGCGTTGATAATTGCATCTCGAATTCCCCTATCGCTCTCTATTGTCGAAGAATAAGCTTCCTCGATTGCTTCATGGAAATTGTCGGTATCCCAGTGGCGCGAAACAGCTGCATTAAACTTCTCTAGTGCCAAGACCTTGAGACCCCCAATTACATATTTTTCTGCAAGGGCATAGACTCTAACATGAAGCAGGAGATCAGATGGTTTAGCATTTTCAGATTCTTCGATTCGGCTAAAAGGAGGCACGGGAGCGATGGACGATTCAGCATCAATCGGTACGGAGCTGTGAGTATCATAGTTAAGACGGTAGAAATATTGAATGAGGCGGTCAACGGCTTCATCATCTTCTTCTTTCAAGTCAATAGTAGGTGTAGGTGTCTTGTTGTGCTTGCAGGCTAACTTCAAAGCCGATGAGCGTGGACAAATGACGGATTTGTGCAAATTATATTGCCTCCCAGCAGAGATGATGAGGTCTGAGTAGGTGCCAGTTAACAAGAGCCTATTTAGCATTAATATAAGTTCTGCTCGTCAAGCATTGAGCTTATTACCATTCCATAGAAATGAGAAGCTCCTTTTGTAGTCCAGCGTTTACAGACATGTCCACAGGGACTGCGTTTCGAAAAGTATGGTCGTTTGTTTGTTGAAGATTCGAAATCTGTGGAGCGAAGAGTTGGGGAAATATCACTTGGGCGCTGACTGTGCTATTCCACTGAAATATCCCGTCTTTCAACAAGGAATGTATCGTCTCAATAAGCTGCGGCTGCGAAAGACCAGAAACAAATAAGTTTTTGAACGCGACAACTTCTTTGATCTTCCTCCGCTTGCGCAGCGCTGAATTGTCGAACTGAGTAAAAACGTGTCTGCAAGCCTCGTCGCGGTACACACGCTCCTTTTCGGCGTGAGAAGGTATAAACATGAGATGTTCTTTAATCGTTTACCTTTGCGTTCAAAGCTTTCAGTATCGTCTCGGAGAGTACTGGGTCTTTTGTTTCGTGAGACACTTGAAAGCCGCAATACGCGCAATATGTATTACCCCGCATTGCCTTGGCCACTTTTGAGAAAAGCACTATTATCAGTTCGCCCAGTATTGCTAATTGGCCAGGATTACTAAGCACCTACAGCATTTACATTTCCATAGTAAGTAGTAAGTTTACTCTTAGGTATTGGGTTAGGCCTAGAAATTTAGTAATTTAGTTTTGTACCCCAGGGTACAAAAGATCCACTCTAAACTACCTACCCTAGGGTATAAAATATTAACTTATAAAGGCTAGAGATAATTAGGCAGGAGAGAAAACTAGCATGCAGAACTATTAAGTATACTTTATATAGATAAGGCCTTTTAGAGTTATATAGTGCCTAATATGCAGTAATTCTACGTAGGGAGGATCTAGAAGCTCCTCTATAACCAGGGACGAGGCGCTAGACTTCTAGACAAGTAATAGGAGAAGCCTAGAAAGGGTTGCCTATGCCTTCTATGGCTTAATAAGTAAGATGCCGCAGGTCAGCACAGCATGGCCGCGTTCAGCTTTTAGCAAGTACAATTATGTAGATACCTAAATATCTATACTATTACACTAGCTTAAAGGTATTAGGTAAAAGCTACTGTTAAGTAGTAAACTTTTGTAACGAACCATACACCTGGAGGTCAGTAGAGGTATGTGCTCCCAAAGGAACAGACCATAGTTTTAGTTTATATTCGCAGATAGGTCTGGTGTAGCGAACCTGTATTTATATGTTAGTCTTGACAAACTTTCCAAGGGACAAATCTCTGGGTTCAGGTAACACAAGAGTCACATGTGAAGCGCGGCACTGATTGGTCTTCTTATCATTCACACGCTGATAGCAAGCACGGTGGATTGTAAAGATATGGAAGCAGGCCTCGCATTGGCCAGTGGCCATGATCGCGCACGTCTCACATTTTCGTATATTACAGCTTGATGAGCAAGTGACCGAAGTACATAGCGGGATGACCTTTTAGAGGCGTTAGAGTTTAGCGACCCAAGCGGGTAATAAGACAAGGGGCTCGCACAATGAAAGATGCGTACGGAGGTACGGAGTACAGAGCTATAATAAGAGCACCCTTTGCAAGGGCCGCTTGCCGTTTTTGTGTTTCTATAATCACGCCGTGTGTTTTAAAGTTTCTTCTTCCCTAATTTTCTGTCCACTGCTTGCTAGGACACGCGGTCACGATGGCAGAATTACATCGCGTCTAATCAGGTTAGTAGAATGTCTCCAGGGAGTACAACCGATCTCCCTCGCTTGCATCATCGTATGAAAGCATAGAAGGTATTCACTACTCAAATGCTCGGCATACTTCAGATGAGGCTTGACAAATTCTTCCCTCTAGAACATCAAGTCTTGGAGCTTCGGTTGGGTGGCGCACCGGTTTCAAGATTCTCCCTTGGCTGGCTGAAAGCGGATGGCACCGTGCCCGGCTTAATCCTGCCAGCCGTGGCGCCGGGTTTGGTACGAGGGGCAGCAGTTGAGTATTCCCGCTCGGCCAAAGCTCTTTCTTTCCTCACCCTGGACGGGATAGCACAGGTACCGCTTGTGCCAAGCAACTTGCGGTAGAGCTTGCGGTAGGAATGGGTACCTCTCGCGCACTAAGATCGGCCCAGGCTCCCGCATGCATCTCAACCGAAGCTGCACCTTGCCCCAGCGCGCCCACTCGCTCTTGCGCTCTTGGACATTAGTACCTTGGTAGCTGGCCTTTCGACTCCAAGGCTGACCTTGTTCGATTGATCATCCTGTGATGGGTTTGTTGTTTTCTTTTAGCGGCTCAACACCCGATGGCACCAAATGGGACTACGCGTCAGCCATAGGTCCTAACGCGCCCTAATGCTGCGAGTCTTCCCTCCGGACTCTTATGTCCTCACCCAGTATGAGTACTTCAGATACTTGGGCCTGCACCTCATCCACACGCTTCGTGGTGCCGCCCAGAGCTGCGAGCCTCTGCTGTCTTCTCTACCAGCCCTGCTCCACCGCTGCAGCCGAGAAGTTGGCCCAACAACCAAGCGTCGTGGCAGAAGCCCAGTAATCGACTTGAACCTGTATGTGCTGCTACTAACAGCTTTCCACTTCCATGAGCTGGACCCACCCTAGGAGCATATCCCGCGATTCCGAGATTAGCCTTTGCAACCGTCATCAATACATAACGTGTGCCACGAAGCCAAGGCTTTACTTGCATAACCGCAAGCACTTAACATGTGGCCGATGCTATCTGCACGCAGGTATTACCAAACCGAATTTTAGGCTGGAGGGGGAGGGGTTGACTAAAAGAAGTGACACTCGCTGCTTCTTGCCACAGGCCGCCTGCCTCAGACCCTTTCCCTCCTCCCGCTTGGTGACTTTAAAGTTTTCTGTCTCACACGATGTCGTTCCAAGGCATGGTTACTCGACTGTTCCCCCCACCCCCCACCCTTCTTCCCCATTGTATACTTGTACGGCCTGTCTCTTGTTGCTTATTCGGTCTCTTCATGCTCCTCCACCCACATGTGCCTCAGCTTGCGTCAACTGGACCTGGGTGCAGACTAGCAAGCGATTTTATCAACCCAAATCTTTTTCTTTTCATGTAGTTGTCTAACAGTCATTACCTTTTCCCATGAATCTGCTCTTCATGATTACTTTCTACGTAAGCAACCTTTACTTCGCGCCTTATTACGATTGGTGGCTGTTGAATGATGCTTTACGAGCAGGCAAATATAGCTAGCAGCAATTTTTGATAATAACAATTTCAAAAGCCACTGCTGGCGGTACCTGTCTTCGGGCAAGTACAGCAAGCATGTTGAGGATTGTGAGGCCGCAGGCGCTCTTATGCCTCCTTTTGATTCTGCAACTGGCCGCAACCCAGGAGTTTCGTGAGCTGAGACGGCCTGATAATTCCATCTCATCGTCCACCGTTTTCCTCTGCCGCCCTGAGCCCGGTTCGCAGCACTCGTTTACTAGCGAGTCGAATGGCGATCACAAGCAGACGGATGGCCCGCGAGGACTAACAATCACGAAAGCTTCTGAAACCACTACATCCGTAACGGCAGAAATTCAAACTACCACTACCGTAACTACTTCAGACAGTCCTCTGAACACGTCAACCTCGTTCAAGGGTAAGAACAAACCTCCTCTCTCGTTCACTGCAGCTAGCTTTGTTGACATAGGAGTGTTCCAGCGTCGATCCCAGCAGGCGATCTGCCGATCCAGCCCATTATAACTCCAGGGTGGGGTGTTGCTGGAAACATTTTGATGCTCACCGGTCTTGTTTATACCCTTGTAGGCAATAAGAGTCGGTGGATCAATTGCTTCTTCTCGACCGCCTTCATCGCGGCCCTCGGAATCTCGGTACTTATTATCTACACCATGAATGTCCCAGTCAGCCTGGGTATGCAGGGAGCATACGTTGTTGTCGCCGTTTTGTCTGGCTGTGCTCTAGGCGCAGCATCGCTGATCTCTAAGGTGTCAACTGAAGGTTTGGGGTGTGCTCTGGGCGGCTTTAGTCTCAGCATGTGGTTTCTTTGTTTGGCGTTGGGAGGCTTGCTACGTGATACGATCGGTAGAGCCATCTTCATTTTTTGCTTTCCCGTCCTTGGCTTTGCTTTTTATATCAGTCACTATACTCGGTACTGGGCCACGATTATCCTGACGTCTTTTGGAGGCGCGACGGTAATCGTGCTGGGCATTGACTGCTATAGCAGAGTCGGGCTGAAAGAATTCTGGGCATATGTATGGAATCTCAGCGATAACCTATTCCCCCTTGGTACGGACACCTATTTCATCACAAGAGGCATGGAAGTTGAGATCGCAGCTATCGTCATAATATGCTTGATTGGTATCATTTCAGAGATCAAGCCCTGGAAGGTTGTTCGAAAGAAACGCGGAAAAAAGGCCGCGAATCTCCTTGACAGTCTGAGATACCTGGCAGAAAAAGAGGACGATGCTGGCCGCAATGTTGAAGCGCAGGCAGCAGGAGAACGAGATGAACGGGGAAAAGCCTACGGAGGCAGAGCCCCGTTCGACAGCAATGGTACCGTTGCCAATCACTCAGATGCCATCGGCGGTGGCAGCAACAGCAAGAGCCTTTTCGGTGAACAATCCGAATCTGCTTTTACAGGTTCCAAGATTGATGGTATACAGATGATAGACTTTTCAGACTCGAACCTGGTGCAGACAGGGATGGCTGGGCTCATACACGCTGATATGGCCAAGGATGGCAAGGTCATGGTTCGAGTAACCGCATATGGTGTAAACAAGACACCAAAAGACAGCGAGGGTGAGGCGACTGACGAAAAAGTTGGCGCCATACCCAATTTAATGACAATATCTCTTGACGGCGACAGACCCACTTCACACAGAATTGTGGTCAAAGGGAAACAAATCTCCCAAGCAAGTTCGAAGCTCAGATGGAGTTCTTCACATAGGACCATTACGGCTGCCGCTGAAGTTGTGTTGCCGCCATTCAAGATTCCAACAGAAGACGATTTAAAATCTGTTTGTGGCCTGTCGTCTGTTGCAACCTTTTTCCACGACGAAGCTATTGCACCTGCGACTTTCCCACGTGACTTTCTTGCCAAGAGGGTCCCACAAAGCTCAGTCGCTCTTCTCAGAAGACTTTCTCCACAGAAGTTAAAACATGTCTCTTCTGAGCATCAGATGAAGAGTGACGAAAACTCTGAAGGATTAGCTGAGCTGGCGGCTATTACCTACGATGATTACGGATCATCTCTAGCTGCCACTATTGACTATGACAGCACGAGCGATGACGAGGCTCATAATTCAATCGTCGGCGCTGAACATCCAAACAGTATCGAGATTACTGCACAACTTAGCCAAGTTAAGAAAGCCCAAGGATCAAAACAGCTGAAGTCAGACACCATCTTTGAGAGCAACGTTGGCAAATCAGATGATGCCACATTTCAAGATGTCAAACAAGCCATGGCGGCCAAGTCCAACGCAGAACTAAGTCAAATTAAGTCCCAGCCAAGCGACATGCATGATACTCAGGAAGCGCATAAAGGAAACTCAGAGACCAAACTTGGAGATACAGCTCAGGATGAAGAAACGCCGATGCCTCTGGATCAGGAATCTACAACAGCAAGCAATGAAGTTGAGAGTAAACCGCTCGAGCCCGGCGAAACAGCTAGGTCTTGTAGTTCGGCGACTTTAAACCTTGTGGGTTTGACCAAAGACCGATTGCCCGAATCATTGTCCAAACTTGCCCTTTCGTATAGGAGAGACGAGTGGACCGAACATCTCAGCCATGCGGATACCCCTGAGCCTGAAGCCATCTCTATCGAGCCATATGCATCCGAACAAGATGTCGAGGACCCCTTATATATCGACGTCGAGGACCTTCTGAAAGCTGCCGCCGGTGATATCATCCGTCCTTCTGCCGTTAAGCGATCGGAAGTTAGAATGAATCAGGTTTCTTTTGTCCAACCGAATTCTAAAGGCATTAAGAAGAAGCACAATCTTTTCAACGTCACTATTTCAGCTGCAGTGTCGCCAACTGTCATGAGCTCCAGTAGAAGCCCAGTATCACTTCCCATTGCCACGGCTATCCAACCAGCTTCAGTATTTATGGATAGGATCTCCTCTAAGCTTGCTCCAATTGTTGAAGAGCAGGATGGCGTGCGGTTAGCCGGCATACCAGCTCCCGAAGAGGTCATGGAGCGGGACCGTGTCCAAATGAACTCGGCCCGATTTCGGCCGATAATGCCTCGAATTGTTTCCTTTGAAAACCCTCATACGCTGCTTGGCCAACGAGGATCTGTCCTTTGGAGTAGGCCACAAGGGAATCTTATATCGCACGTGTCCAAGATACCTAGTACTACGCAAGGATCCGTTGGTAACGTTAACTCTCTTCGCAACTACTCTGTTTATAATCGAGTACTTAGTCTCGACCCCGACAACTCTCTACCCAGTCGACGGAAGAAAATGTTACGCCAGAGCAGCGTGGCAAGTTTACCACTATCAAACTCTCGGCCGAACCGCTCAATCAGCGGTGTCGAAGTTGCGGCCAATACGCAGTTCAACTCCCATCAGCCGAAGAGGGTATCTTCAGTCTCCGTGGTAGCCCAAGAGACAAGACTTGCCAAATTTCGACAGTCAATAGCTCATGCCAATCGATCTATGACTCTATGTGTTCCCAATATGGGAGACGATGCTCCTTTCGCATCGACAGCAACTCTTATTGATGACATTAATGCACAACGCGCCGTAATGATCGAGAAGAAGGAAGCTGAGATGCAGCGGAGGGAAATGCAGAGACGAGAAAAGCAATGGTACGATCGCATGTGTGAAAGCCGTATGCGGAGTGGCGAGCTACTAGGGGCACATCGCCAAGCCATACGTAAGATGCAGAGTTCTGCGAGAGATGTATGAATGACCAAAGAAACGCGGGTTATATCAGATTACGACTCAATATGGGCAGCATATATGTGGGCCTCTGCCCAGATTTTATTCTTTTTAGTCTGATATACTAGGTTACCGAAAAGGATAGATTGCGTTAGCGATACCAAATTTCTAATTATTTCTTCTTTTAGTTCTTTTTTTTTTTTTTTTTTTTTTTTTTTTCTTTGGCTGGGATATAGAAAAGATACTGATAACATGGCTGCCGGCAAGACTTCAACCCAGAGTGTAGAGAGCCATTTAGTGTTTAACGTGACATTTACTCTTACTACTATATGTAGAATATGAGGAAAGATGAATTTAGTTTCAAAGTGTTGAAGGGCGAGGTTTACCGTTGGATTCAAAAGAGAGTATATAGGTACAGCTTTGCGTCCTAGCCTCTTTCATCTTTATGGTATGCATATTACTAGTAAGCAATAGAGAATGGTGCACAAACTATTCTCCCTCCCTTCTTCCATCGTCATACCATGTGTACTTCTATTTTACATCCTCATATAAAACAAGAAAAAGAAATACATTTTAATATAGACCAAAACAAATCATTAATTTCCAGATAAATCAAAGAGGGGCTGCCTGAATATGAAGTTATCGAAACCGAATGAACGGAAAGGTATCGTCGGATCAACAAGATTGCGCTCCCTCAAGTTAGGAATGCACCTTTCCCCCTTTCCAATCGCAGCCAGGTGGGCGCACAGCTAATGCCCCCCTGACCAATAGCCCGATTCAGGATAGATTAAAGCAGTATCACTATGGAAGAGCCACGATAACGGAATCGTCTCTCGGTATTGCTATCGTTCGAAGAGGCCCGTCTCGAAGCCGAAGCTATCTCTGTTGAGGAAGGGGTTTCGGCAGGTGGGCTGGTGGCTGAGTGGCTTCAGAGGGATTAGACAAGGCGGTTTCTCCAGGAAGTTTGGAGAGGATGAAGGGGAGAAAGAAGTTAAGGCGGGTGCGGAAGAGACACGGGTTGCGATGAGCCAGTTGATGGGTGTGTCTTTGTTGAGGAGAGATATTGTGGGAGGGAGTTCTTTGGGCAAAAACGAATAGTGGCGAGGAGGAGGAGTTGCAGCGACCGGCGGAATAAAGGCGTTCGGCCCAGGGTTGTAAAATTAGTTTCGTTACCAATTTTGTTCTTTACAGTATATATGTTACGACCTGGATCACCGTAACAGTTAGATCCCTTGTAAGCAGCTGGTTCCGTTATAGTAACTGCTACAATAGTGGTTATTGGCCTAATCATTTGCCCTGTTTGGCTTAACGGTATAGCGGATCGTTACATTTAGCTAAGGAAATTTTTATCTTATACCTACACCTAAGCCTTACTTAATATAGCTATTCATTCTAGATTCCTTCCCTATTTAAAAAGCATACTTTAAAGCCTGATTAAAGTATGCTTTTTAAAAGAATAAGAATTCAATACAGTAATAGTTTTCTTAAATATAGTAATTACTGAGTAAAAGGAAGTATTAAAAAATTACAGTACCAGAAAAGGAGAGAGTTATTCTAAGCGAGAGGGTCCTATATATCCATTGATATTAGATGGCCGAAGATAGTCTTATTGAATGTTGCGTATCTAGGCTGAGAAAAAATGACATCCGTGACAGTTGAGGTTAATTTGCAAACAGGAACTGCTACATTAGCCGTATTCGACCTGGGTAGCAAGGGGATCGAAGGGAATCGAAGCAAAAGCTATGACATATATTATATATTATATGTCTTAGGTAGTTATCAGAACTGTATAAGTAGAAGTTATCTCAGCTGCCTCATTTAGTAATCTCGTATTCAAAGAAGCCAAATAAGGTCTATGCGAAACCAATACATCAGTAATAGACTAACTATGAAACATAAACCATATAAAGCTCTGCACACCTTCTATTTAATCCAGCAGTTCCTTGCGTAAGTACTCTACCGGTTGCAGCTTAGCCTCATGAATTCACGGCATCAGCTGCTTCCCTGCACCTTAATCCTTCCTCACCATTCACGTCGCCAATAACCCAAACTTCCCCATTCCAACACTAGGCAATGGAACGGGGCTTTCGCCAATGACGTGTGCATCTTCCGCTGGCTAAAAGGTAGGCCGTTGATGGTACGTTGGCTCTGCGTCACTGCGTGGAAACTTCCACCGCTTTAGGTTGTTTTTGGGAAGGGGGTGGAGAAGAGGCTCCTGCCCACCTGCTGTCAAAAGTATATGAATATGCCAACCCTTTCATCATTTATTAACTTAAAACGCCAAATATCGCTAACATGTCCTCACGCCTAGAATGGACGTATAATACGTGCCTTGGCTGTGATGCCCCGACAGATGGTGCGACTTACTGCTCAGAATCCTGTCGACTGTCGGAAGATAATAAAGCAGTGGAGAGGGTTCATGACCTGAGCTTGTCTTCCACGAGGCTCACAGAGACGTCTTCGACTATCAGTCTGAAAAAGACGACTTCCGTTAAAGTTGAGCAAGAATTGAGAAAGTATAATGCGTCATTGGATCAATCGAAGATGCAGAGGAGCGCATCGCGTTGATATATCGCTAGAGGTATCCAAGACCGAACCAGATCGGTGAAAAGCTCATTCACTAAAAGAGCATTAGCAGCAACTAAGAAAATGAGAGTGAAGCAGTAGGATTCTAATCGCGGATCCGCGAGTAGGTTTTGCGAACTTGTGTATATCGGGGTTTAAACAGACAATTGCAAGAGGATCACAACCATAATACCAGTTCGCGCATTATGTACGCTGTGGGCTATATACACTCGACAATGTTAAAAGATATGGTCACTCGCCAAGTAACGATAATTGGGTTCACGAAAAACGACTCCACTCCCTGTTGGCTGGAGGGTCGTATCGAGGGGAGTTATTGTACATGCTTGATGAAACCCCATACACGACGGCCCTTTGTAGCTTTTGCGGATGAAAGGAGCTTCGACTCAAACAAAATAAATGCTATCGGCTGAAGTGCGTAGTCGGATTGTGACTTGATGAGAACTGTACAGCTTGTCGAGCGATTGACATAGCGGATACCGGACTGTGGCGCATGACAGGCGCCTCCGATACAAGAAGGCTCACTCATGGTCACTCGAATGTCCCCGCAGGCTTGTTGCACACGACCTGGCTTGATAAATACACCTGTTGACTAGACCTATATCTGTTGCGAACTTGAGCTGTAAAACCACAGCAATCTTTAAAAGTATGGCGCGAATGATGTTTCCGGTAGGTATTAAATCTCCGACCAAAGCGATCAAGAGACTGATTCTGATTAGCGGTGGACTACTCGCATTGTCATCTTGCATATTGCTCGATTACAGCACTTCCTCCGCTCTTTCGGCGCTGAAAGAAAGAGCCATAGGCCAACGAAGCAGAGTGACTCGCAATCACTTCCTAAGGGCAACGTCACCCCAAAAACAGCAGGCAGGGGAAGTACAGGGCTATACGATCGGGGTTTCCAGCAGCACCTGATCAATTACGGCATATCACCTCATGCTTATGAGTTCCCAGATGCTCGACTGCCGCCAGAGCCTGGATGATATACTTCGGGCTCTGGTCCAACCCAGAGCATCGCTGGCTCTGTTCCATTTCCCAACCCATGACTTCCGCAAGTTCGAAGGAGCAGAAGCGCGCAAGCGATGAAGGACAGAGACATTATGACAAGCGTCATCCCTATTATTGAAGAAAATATTAGGGATAGAAAGTGTGTCTCCGGCGAAATTCCATTCACGAATCTTGATCATCTAACGGACGGTACACTTGTGCCAGGCAGCCCGGATATATATTATGGTGCGCGTCCAGAACAGCTCCACCCAAAAACTCGCGAGGCATTGCAGGGCTGTGTTATTCCCTCGACTCAGAGTGATATCCCTGTTGCGCCGAAAATTTTCGTGGAAATAAAGGGGAAGGACTGGTCTGCAGCTGTAGCTCAGCGACAACTATTTTACGATATGGCCTTGGAGAAAGTGGAGAAAGAGGCCAACATGCTCTTCGATCACGTAATCTTTTTTATTTCATACGACCATGAAGCTCATACTCTCCGCTACACGTATGTGGATGGACAGTTAAAAATTTTCGCTTGCCATGCAATACTACCCGCCTGGTGGGCAAACAGGCTTTGTCATGACACAGCTTAGAGCCTAAGCAACGATGTCCGATACCTTTCAGCAAGGAGCCGCAGCATATCGTAATGGTAGGGACTAGGCAATGAAGCAAAGAAATGGAGCAATTGAGCAAGCAAATAAGAGAGTAAGATGGAATGAAGTCATTACGTTCTGTCCAGTCTAAATGTTGCTGCGACTCAAGCGCTTTTGGTTCACAGCTGCATCGATATTGTGGCGGAGTGATCGACAGTTTGGGATATAGCTGGGCATACCAGAAGACCCTGTGTAACAGTATGAAGATCAACAATAAGGACATCTCCGGCCGTGCGTGCCGGAACATGTGCGAAAAAGAAAGTCTGATTCGCTGCCTCCTGACTTAATGGAATAACTCCAAAATAGTTCACGCTTATCCTGGACAAATTACTTAAAAGCCTTTCTGGGGCCGCTACTGAAAGAACTTAGAAAATCTTCGATAACTATGACGAATATGTCGAAGAACTGAAGAAGGCCTCTGGGGATATTAGAAAAACCCGTATGGCGGAAATAAGATGTTGAGCTGCTATCTATTTCACCTGGGAACTTTACTGGCAGCCTGTTTATTCCCTTCTCAAAAGTAGTGCCTGAAGTGGGGTTTCGCGAGGTGATATAAAACTATAAAGACTAACCCTACGCTTTAGACAGTGTGAAATAGTGTGACTTCTTGACATCACTAGGAGGTCGACGTGTTGACACTGGTGCTAGCGCCATTAACACGACGAAAACTATGATCTCCGCATACGCGACGCAGGGTAATCGCTCCCTCATATCGCCGGGACATAAGTGCCCTTTCGTCATCCTTTCGTGAGGGCAATGCATGTCGCTTGGTTGAGACAGTTGTCTTCCCGCATGTGCCATTTCCCTTCTCTAGGGAGAAAAGAGTGGATAGCTGTCGCAAACTCTGTGCATTCCATTTAGTTTGTTCGCTAAATGCAATGGAATGGCATTGCCCCACAGTGCTAAAATAGATATATCTACAGCTTTCATGAAATCCTTCCCTCGGTGTAGGCCATACACGGCCGCGGCAACTGAATTTATGCGAGACTAGCGCCGACAGCAGAAACTCCTTAGGTTTACCGGGGTTTTAGACTATACACCTGATACAAAGGAAGACGTCCTAACTTTGGGGTAAGCCATATGCAGCATTAGCGGGACTACAAGCATACACCACACATTGCTATAAGCAGGCAAAGCGTCATTGGAACATATAGTTCATTAATCCCAACAGAGATCTTCGACTAGGAATATATGCCTACTCAATCTCCCGGGGCCATTTCTCCATTGCGGTGAGTCACTGTAGAATAGGGAATATAGGGAGATGTGGCACATATCGCAGACACAAAAGCGAACTGGTACTCGGCTATTTGCCAAGATGCAACATCAAGAGGCTTACATGATTCCCTGGATGGTTTAGGAATCTCAATAACGATGACGAGCTCTGGTATTGTTAGATATGCTCAGGACGACATGTCGACGCGACTACGACCATCCAGCTATGTTGACTACTTTTCCCACGATTGGACTCAAGAGGCTATTCAGAAATCCTGGAAATATATCGCGTCAAACTCCAATGAACTCGATAATGCGGCTCGCTTAGGAAATGCATCCTTGAGAATATGGATAAAACACATGAACAAGCTAAAGACCATACCTCCAGAGGCCCTGAATTGGTGAGTGAGCCAGTTGTCTGTAAAAGGAAATGCCTAACCAATTCAAGGTATAAGGACTACGATGTTACGTGGCTCTATGGACCATTACAGACAAATGATGGGATTACATCAAACAATAAAACTATTTCGAGTTCGTCTAATAAGAAACCCAGCTTGAAGAAAAGGAGCACGCTGGACACCATATCTCAGGGATCATTCTTCTCAACATCAATAGACCAACTAAAACAAATTAACGGGATAACACGAGTAACAAGTATACAGTTCCGTCTCTTACCATCTTCAATCCTGCGACTTCTATTCTCTACTGGGGAGCGCAAACACGTCCGTTTTAGCCAAGAAATCACAGTCTATTCTTACTAGTCTTCACGAGGATTTATGCATTGGACGGACAGTATTCAATGGCCTTGCATCTCCGCTAGAGGCACATCGATGCAGTAACTTGCATTTATCAATCTGAGTCCTTCACCGGGTGGCAGAGCGACAAGGCGGATCTCCCTTCTAGATGCATCGAGGGCTCTACACGATGCCTTAGAATGGAAATGACTGTTTCCTGGCTGTGGAAGATCCATAATTAGGGAAAATAAACGAAATGTACAATTGAGTTCGGGAGAAGGAAAACCAAAAGGGAGGAGTAAGCTACGTAAATAGTTGTTGTGTAGTATTAGCGGGTGCGCTGGGCATTCGTTTTGAGCGGGATCGAGACGTATGATAGCTGCCGTAAGCAAATCAGTCGGAAATAAAGCACATACGACAGTTTGAAAGCCATACTAAATATGATGGAGATCTATCAAGTGGGAGGCTCCCTTCCACAGGACACAGATTGAATAATTCCCCCATTGTCCCATTTGTATGTACCAGTATAACAAACACAAACCAACAAAGGGGCCGTTCAACCTAGTCTTCTCCAATCATCCTTCTCATCAAGGGTTGAACACTCCCTATACACATGATCAGATCACTTCGGCGATTCATGCAATGCTTTGCTTAGATCCGCCCCACACTCAACCCAGACATACCCTCGAAAATTGTCTAGATAGGGTACGCAAAGGCTTTGCAGGACAAATGTAGACGTCATTGAGGCGGTCAAAGTGCATCCTAGTGCACAGACGACGTCCCATCAGGCCTACAGGAAAGTCAATCCGGGACAATAGAATGCGCGTAGGCAAGAAAAATACCTGAGTAACGCACGCGTAGGAGCAAGCGAGCCCACTGAACGAGCATTAGTGCGACCAGAAACATATTGACCGTAGAAGATTTAATGTTAAAAGTTCAAACAGGGCTACAACATTCCAGTCCGAGTCTCCCCCATACTTCCGATCACACAAACTTCCGCCACTTACCGCCCCTATATAGCCACGGGTGTCATTCCCATGTCCACCCTCCTTTGCATCGAAACCAGATGTCCAGCACTATTGTCCCCGCCATAAGTTGAAAGCTATAAAAGTGTATCCCTCGATTCTGTGTGCATCGCTTTGCATAATTCTTGATAAGTGGGGTCCGTGTAAGATGCAGCTTTAGAGTTTGCGGTCATTAAATTAGCCCTACTAGTCTGAGACTATCAATATCCCGACCTCAAATGACTAAATGATTGAAAGACATAGCCAAGATGCAGGACTAGTCAAAAATAATCAGCTAGTTCTTCTCAAAGCCCGTTGCCTGTTTGACTGTGCTTTCCAGACATTGTCTGTAAATTAGTTGTGGTAGGTGATCAGGTGGATCCGGAGGAAGGGATCTAGAAGGTTAATGACTTTGTCTTTCAGTGAAACGTTAATAGTGTCTAAAACATGGCGCATCACGGCAAGGAGTGGCGCCAGCTGTTGCTTCGTTTACAGCATGTTGAGAATCGGTTGTGACAACAGTTTCCGTGGCATGAACAACGTGATAACAAGCATCGTTGGCCATCACCTTCTATGGCACACATTATTTACTTAACATATCTGAGACCGACAAGAAGATCAAATTCACTGGAATCTTAAGTCCCTGACTTTTTTCTATCAACTCCACTACATCCTGCAGGTAATTGGACTTTGAGATATTGGGGGAAAAGGTCAAAATTGAAAAACCCAAAGGACAAAATTTTTGGGGTGAGAAATTGTTGGAAAAATCAAACACCCGAAGAGAAAGGATGGTTTTCAAAAGGGAGGAAAGGAAAGTGGAACCGAAAAGAAAGGTATGGCAATCAAGACAAGAAAATTTCCATCCTTCAGAATACTGCGCCAAATCAGTTTTGGGAGACCTCCGTAAGGAGAGCCAAAATAGAACACGAAACGCTCTCGGACGCCAGTGACCAAAGCAGGGAGATTTTTAAGAAAAATAGAAAGAAACTCCACCGCCACAAGACGGAACAAAGCCCCATCACCAATGACGTTTTCGCAGAGGATAAGAGCCTGGCTCCTACTATCAGTCATCATGCCGTTCATTATGACTTTCTGAGGCTAATCACGATACCGCTTCTCACGATGCCGCTTCTGCTGTCAAACTGGTGTCTTTATTCAAAGTAGTACCCTCAAGAGTCGGACCCATACCACTACTACTACTCACCAATCTGCTGTTGCTGCTGCTGCATCCGCTAATGATGCAGCTCCTGGTGATGCAATTGCCCGTGCTGCAGGTGACTATGAAATTGGAACTGATGGTGGTGATGGGGAAGGCGTGCCTGGATGGCCTGGGACCGAGCCCGAGCTTCCTGGGTTGTTGTGTCAGGCATGCAGTCATCCTCAAGCCAAGTTCTATTAAGCCTAGAGCCATACGTAGACAGAGGGGTGGCAACAGCAATGCCTGGTACCTACATGATGATCTCCGCGCGAGGTTTGATATTCTGAAAAAAAGGGGTCCCGCTTGGGGTTACCAGGGAGTTGTTATTAACATCCTCTATGCGGTAGTAGCTGACCAGGTGGTGGGGCACACCCTGGAAGGTTATGGTGATGGTCTTCTTGACAAGGCCTCTTGCTTTGAGTAGATAAGAGTCTACTAGAAAGCCGACCAGTGACCTCTCTGGATTCCAGGCGATAGTGGCCGGATCTAACACGGATGAGTTGGACTGAGAATTGGCCTTTTTTACACCCTGAGAAGCCCTTTTCCTCTCGAGAGCGCGCTTCTTCTCTTCAGGGGAAAAAGGTTTATTTAGTTCGCGGTAGATGAGGAAATTGCCGACGATGCGACTTGGACTCCAAGATATACCGTCTGCCCAGCACTTTATGCCGGAAGCATGCTCTTCGTAGATGAAGATGTTGCCACTCGAAATGAGCTCTTGGCGTTCACGATCATTTGGCTGTCGGGGGACATGGTTGATATGGCCTTGCAAGCATGACTCGAACAGTAGGAGAGCGTCCCAGGTGGTAGCTACATGCCCCTTGAATGCAGGGTACAAGGGTATCTGGCTGGGCATTGCAGTCGATCTAATTAATGTGATGGCTAGCTCGCAGGTAATTGTTCTGCGTGTATAGCGTGTAAATAAGCAGTGTGCCTATGCGAGATTGATAGTGTTAGTGTCGGCGCTGGTGCTATACAAAGTTGATTTCATGCTCTCCTATGTGCAAGTGGACAACGAGGAGATGGAGAGGGAGCAGGAAATTGTTAGGGTGGCAAGGAAAGGGTGGAGAGCGAAGAAGGGAGGTAAAAGAAGGCGAGAGAAAGAAGTAAAGAGATAAATCGGAGTTAGGGAAAGAAATGGAGAAATGGAGAAAAGAGGAGGAGGAGGAGGAGGAGGAGGAGGAGGAGGAGGAGGAGGGTGTGTATCATGTCTGTATTGTGTGTGTGCAGTATCTAAGTGGAGAGTGAGAAAGAATTTGAAGAAATCAAGACTTGCCAGGGCCACGAGCTGAGGTATCGGAGAGAGGTCAGATGACAAAAGCCGTCACCCTATTACCCGAGGTATGGCTGCAGGTCGTTGATCATGGAAAGAGACAGGCAGCTTGAAGAAGTTCAAGTTGCGTTGATTTTCACTTTGAGAGATAGAAGCCAAGAAGGAAGTGAAGGGAAAGCGGCTTTAAGAAAGTACCTAGAAAAGGCGTGGGATTAAAGTCTAGTCAAGGTCGAGATCGAGCTGTAAAGCTGAATATCACGTTCAAGATCAAATTCGGGCCAAGTCGAAGTTTGTATTGTAGCTGAAATTAGTGTAAAGTCGAGATGGAAAATGAAAAGTGGGAAGGGGAGATTATGGGCAAGAGCGACGGTGGGTGGAAGCGGAAGCGGGAGTACTGAAATCGATCGAGTTATATAGCCCGGCAGAGGCACGTAAATTTAGTGCCTGGGTCTAGCAGCAGCAGAGCTGGAATCGGTGCGTCAGGAGCAGCAAGCCGTGGCTTGGGCGACAATCGATTTGGGCTCAATGCGAGGGGCCGAGGGGGCATGGCCAGCAGCTCGCCTGGAGGTAGCGGTACGCTGCTGGTGCGGGCGATGCGGGCACAAGTTGGCGTTGCGCCTACCACTGCAACAACGTGGGCAAGGTACTTAGCATAGGGCTGCAGTTTTATGTCTACATTTTATAAAAACCCATGAGGAAATATCGAATCCATATGTTAGGGCAACCAAGAAGTTTCATCGCTGTATGAGTTACTTATACCACTACGCGTACCGGCCAATGATCTAAGCTATAGATCGCATGATGCACGGCGTGCGGCAGGCGGAGCACATTTGTAGCTAAGCCCGCAGCAAGGGTGGAGACATAAAATGCATATGAAGTACGGAGTACTCTATGTTAGTTACGATGCCTAACACCGGGTTGGCGAGACCTGGCTCTGAGCCTTTTATCTCACGTATTCTGTAACACAAGCTTGAAGCTTCTGCGTCCGTGACGACAGGCTTCGCGCTAGTTTAGCAATGGTCACATAGAAGACATACACGTATAGCATCACACGCAAAGTCTCCCCCACTTTAGCACTTTCTGCGTTCAATGATCATGTCCAATCAACGGAATTTCTGTGGCGACCAGGCCTGTGATGGTTATTATAGTGATCACATGGAAGAGCATGAAGCCGACATGATAACTGACATATCTGATAGTCCTCACAATGGCGTTTCGTGTCCACTGAGGGTGATGGATGCAGCTGCACGCGCACGAAGCGCGCTTTTCCTTTTGTCTTTGGCGGCGATTTACGCATCCTTTTCAGGTGGGCATTGAGCACGGTCCCATATTACTGAGCGTCCATGCGCGTCACGTTGATAATAAGGTGGTTAGTGTTACAGTAGTTTTCGCCTTAAGAAATATCAACCTCTACGGATTGGAGACTACTGACATCTGCGGACTTGTGGTAGGTGTTTGTTCTGCCGGGCTGTTAATACTAGAGACCATATCTGTGCATAACGGTTCGTACTTGTGCGGCCGAGATTCTTTCCAATGTGACCTGTCACGAAGCGGTTGCTTTGCCACATTTATTCATTAAATTTAATTTAATTTATTATTTTCTTTTGCCATTACGCATGCCGCGGTGGCCATAGCGGAAACAGCGGTTACGTGAAAGATCCTGCAACCACACCATGGGTCATATATCATTTTTTCATAAGCGTCAACCTTCTAACCTTCCTTCGCCGCCCACCTTATTGTCTCAGCTCCCTTTAAAAAAAAACTATTTCCTCGGCCCCACTAAATTCGACCCAGTCCTGGTCTCGCCGGAACCCCGTGTCTGCTGTAGACGGAGCGCTACGGATGCTTACTTTGTGACGATTACATTCTTATAACACAAAAGGCCCACCTAGTATAAAACAAAATAGAGATATCTTGATTCACTTGGCGGCAAAGACAAGGCTTCTGGAAATTGATTCACGGCTTATCTACGTGGCAACGCGCCCCTGGTGTTCAAACGTGCCAACCTGGGCCTTGCATCCTCTCCCTGTCTCCATAAATGGCGTCTCAGATATTGTGAATAATATCGTCAAGGCTGAAACAACGAAAATAGGGATTAATGCACCATTTAGAATGGAAAGCCCTGGGAGAGGCACCGATGTAGCTATGCTTATAGAAGTTGTGGCATCAAGTATTATTCCGCCTACGGCACTAAAAACAGTTAAACGTAAAGTGTGCTTCCTTCACCACTGACGCTCAATAAATGGCATAAATGGCAGGCACAGCATTATGACTATACGTCTGGGATGTTATGGGGCCATATTATTTTCAGCACCACTGGTTCCAATTTCTCGACTAGAGGCGTACGCCGCCTATCGAGCGAAACTTTCATACGCTGCCTGCCTAGCACTGTCCTTTCTTAGGATATTTACATATATATTCTTGTACCAGGTATTCTTAACTCTAAGTAAGAGTAATATAATAATTAGATGCGGGTTTATGCCCTTTGCCTTTGAAACTGTTATAGGTAGATTAGAATATCCGTTGTTACTAATCTCCCGTGCCTTAAGGGATTGGTCCCCCAACAAAGACCAGTATGCCCTATTTGCCTATAATTCTGCCAAGTTCTTTTGCCGAACTATATATCTTTGCATGCATGGCTCCCATTTGTACCCCTCAAATATTCTTTCCTAACTCTGAATCTCACTCATGATCTAAGGCGTGATCGGTATTTGTGGACTAGCGATGCTTACCTTTTTTTGTTTCTATCTAGCAGCAGTCACCAATGCCTATACCGCATTCAAACTGCGCGTTCTCCGCTCATGATTTCTAGTTCCTCAAAGGGGAAACCCTTGCAGCTGGCTTACGTTGTAGCACCACGAGAAGGCCGTCAGAGGTGCTAAAAACCATGACTTCAACTTCTAATGGGTAGATTGGCTGTTTATTCCCACGATTCCGAAGCGTTGTTGAATCAGCTGCTTGGAAGCCTTGTGGAACTTGCATTTCTTCCTGATCGATATTCTCGTCTGGGTCCCCAACATTATATTTCTCATGCGGATTCCTTAAAAGAAACTCGAAGTAGACAATGGAATCGTCACATTTAACTTTCTCTAAACATTCCTCGGCATGCGCGAGGCTTTCGTCATGGATATAGTTATAAAAGCTCTTATCCTTCAAGTGCTCTAGTTGGCTTTCCAGTATCTGGCCAGCTTTATTAGTCGCAGATAAGATGGTCAATGACCTGGTAAATCGATCTAGAATCAAGGCCGCGCGAGGATTATCCACTATAGAGTGTATATGAACGGTCCAAGACGGGAGCTTCGATATGTGATATTGCGGATCCTTAGAGTATCCCGAAAAAATATGGCTGATTTGAGTCGCCCGAACTGCACGTACTGATAGGTATTTCGTCGTTAGTTCAGAAATTTCCACAGTGCAACAATGGATGACAAAAAATTGTAGCATACACTGGCTTTTTCCTCCTCTGGAATAGATCCTTGAGCATACAGCTAGAATATCATTCACCACAGTAAACCAACACTCGCAGGTTATGTACTTATCACCTCTCGTTCGAATACGCACGCGGTAGAGATCTGACGCGCTTTTAAACCAGAGCCCACGGTTATAGATTGTTCTAGCGTAAAATACTTCCCCTGGGTGGATGTACGCAAAGCATGATTGACCCAAGATATCTTGTGGGTGATATCCCAGAATGTCAAAATTAGATTCGGACGCGAAAAGAATTGTAGCATCTTCTGATAGATCTTCACCGCATTACATTAATATAAAGAACGCATGGCCGGTTGTAATTGGCGGGCATACCGTGAAAGGTGATGCATGCTAATTTCATCGTGAATAAGACAAGCCAATCTATACCATTGCGATATCGGGCTTAGGATTGTTGAGAGGAATGAAGATAGGAGACGGCTCTCTTCGGTTCGTTCGTTTGCAAGACGTTCTGTTGAGCCGGATGGTGTCGTGTAGAGCCAGTGGTAACAGGTCGGCAAATAATGTTGGTTGCGGCACATACCAGACCAGACCCTTTTGTAGATGAGGAAACGATGGTAGCAAAAACGGTCGAGACAAATAACTCGGTATGGGAGCTCCCGTCACCGGGTCGAGCCATCAAGAATGGGAACTAGCGCCAGCCTCTTACAGTTGTGGCTCAGTGGCTTTATTTTTATTTGGTGAAACGCGATGCTCACTGGCCCGCACTGGAGACACCTAGCATACACCTCCACCCAGTAGCACTAGGTAAATATTACCGTCAGACCAAACGGGGAAATGCCCTAGTCTCAATGGAGAACTCGACACACGCCATCGCCTCTACTATATGTAGTATTCATAACATGTCTTGTCCTGAAGCGACGCAAACGACAAAATTGACAATTTGATTTTAGTGTCTCGCATTGTGCGACAGCTCCCGCACTATTTATTTATACTCACCAAGGCATAAGTCACATTACAGTTACTGAATTGCGGGCACTATCACCATCAAAGCAACTGACCTACAAGTTCTCAAAACAAAGCTTCTCCTAGCTATTATCGATAGCATGTCATGACCCAACAACTTTATGGTTATTATAATAGACCTTTCAGGTACACATCCCGGGGGATTCCGCTGGCTGAGCAGCTACAAGGACTAACGTGATGAAAAAGACCGAGTTGGTTAACTTAATCGAAGCTTCCCTCCTATACCTATAGGTACTCTGCCTGGAACTTTGACACCTGGAAGTTGGACACCTAGAGACGTTATCACTATCCTGAATGCTATCAAACCCTTTCAAAGCCCCCAACACCGCCCAGGGAGCTCCCACTCCTATCTACTCAAGTCTCCCTCTTAGTATAAATAAGGGTCTGAGCCAAGTAGTGACATATATATATTCAGCAGTTGAGACTCAACCACGGTGTCTCCGAGCCGTGCCATATAATGTAGAGTATAAAAGACCTTTGAATTCTTGTTTAGTTGAGCCCCTTGGGAGGCGGGCCGAGCTTGGTGAGTCTCATTGAGTCGTGTGCTCGGGTATGAGATGTTGTTGCCGTTATCAATCAGGAACCTAGGCATCTCGGACCTTGTATGGATCAACGTATCGATCCGATGGCGGCGCCGCAGAGAGTTGCAGGAGCAAGTCGTCATGTCTCATATACCATAAAATTGACGTACATCTGCATCGGCTCTTAATCGCTCGGGCACACTGACGACGTCGGGATACGGCCTCATCCGCAGCGAATGGAAGAGTTCGTGGTAATCATTTGACAAAAACTGCAGCTCGGAAAACTTTCGCTTCAACCGCTTAGCGTCGCGTCTCAGAAGCGTTTGTCTCGTAAGGCCCTGTAACGCAGTGGCTAAGCGTCTGGCAGGCTTTGTGCGCGTTCGTCGCACAAGGCAGTCAATCCGAATCCGGCCAGGGTACAATCTCTAGCTAACCTTCCTATGACAAACAACCTCGGCTTGCGAAGACATATACTTAGGCCATCCAGGCCCTGCCGACACAACCAACAAAGCAAGCCTTAGCTTTGTGAAGATACGGCGCTCAAGGCCATAGCCCTGCAGCAGCAGCTACCATAGCTGTAAGAACTACAATTTAGTACGTGTTAATAAAGGCATAGATCATTTACTACCCACGCGTTGATATAGGTACATGGACCGCCCCCATTCTTTATATCGCTTGTGATTTGTATGCCGTTCAAACTGGTCCTATTTCATGTAATGTTCCTTCCCACTGTTTTCATGCGCTATGTAAGTAAGGTACACATCAGTTAGCCACCAGTAAGTCAACTGTAACCCTATACAACCTGCCCAACGCTAATCAGGCAGACTAGAGCAAATACAGTGATAGGATATTAACCACTCATTGGGTGGGAAGTTAGGTTAAGCCTTAATAAGGTAGGTGGGTGGGAAGGATGCTGTTCGAGACCCGAGCTCCATGTATCACTCCTCAGCTGTGAAGCGATAGAATTTAAGACATTTCGATAGGTAGCTACGCAGAGATGATAAAATGGCCTGATGAGCTGATGTCTTAGTAAATGTCTTAGAAAATGGTTCTGGGCCTTTTTTAAATATGACAACTTAGAAAGAGTTGGGGGTGTGTGGCGCAGTGGTCAAGCACACAGGTGACTTAGAGAGAAAGGTCGTAGGTGTTACGAGCAACGCATCTATGGTCGCAACATCAGGCCTACAGGGTAGCATCTCCCAGATCTAAGATGGACCGAAGGTCCAATCACCGACCAGCTCACCCGACAGAGTCAGCCCCTTCCTAATCAGGAAACCAGCTCACTCACATGTAAATGTGCTCGAGTGAGCTTCCCATTATATATATCCTGACAACGCTCATTTAGAATAGTTAGATAGTCAGTAGTGAATACAACGCTTTGATTGAATCTAGTGGATACTCATTATTAGTTGCGTGACATTACTCTTACATTGCCCGACAACCCAGCCTAGCCTATCCACCAACATAAACCGACGACAAAGTTTGCCCCTTGGGAATTCTGTATCTCTAGGTGCTCGGCTTGCATAGTAGGTGTTACGACATGACTCTTATGGTCGCAACAAAGGGTCTATAGGGTAGGCACGACAGAACAACATAGTTCCGCTTAACCAATCATGGGCACGACTCACTTTGGAATTGTGAGCTCAAGTGAGCGCACTTCCCTAATAGGCAGTGGCTCACATAGAAAGTGAGCTCGAGTGAGCCTCGCATTATTATACATTTCTCTAAGCTCATTTAAAATAGTTATATAGCCAGTTGTGAATAATAACCTTTGATTGAACCTACTTGATACTCTTTACTAGTTGATGAAATTGAAGTATCATACTGTAGTAGGGCTATTTGTGGCCGCAAACTCCAGAGCTGCAACTTACGCGGATCCCATATATCAAGAATGACACAAAGCGATGCACAGAGGATAGAGTATACACTTTTATAGTTGCAATTTATGGCGGGGGCAATAACGTCATGCGGTGTCTTGAGGTGGATAACGTTCGTTATCCCCAGTATGTTGATCCCGTCCCCAGTGCAGCCGTGGCTATAATGTACGGGGTTTTGCCCCGGAATCTTCATCTGGCTCGCCATATGTAGTAGCAGCAGTCCACCAACCCAGCTAGTGCCTTGCATTTCGCATGGATCATGCAGTAGACCACGCCCTTCTCTCCTCTTGTAAACGAACCGACTCTGACCTCGACCAGTTTTTAAACTCTCGATCGAGTCTTGCCCATTGTAAAGCCACAGAACCTAGTAGTAGGCGATAGTTCGGCGGCTAGAGGTCCTAATGTAGAGAGGATGCTAATTTGGATCTGCAAAGCGTAAAGACCAAGGCGAAGCGGTGAGTGTCTTGGGCCGAGAGCATTTCTCTCACGTATGTCGCGAGGTCAATCCACACCAGCTGCTGCGCATCGGCAGCCGAGTTGCTCTTCAGCTCGCCTAGCACCAGAATGTGCGACCAGCGATATCTGCTAATCATCCCCAGTTCCGGCTGAACCATGAAGTCGTCGTTTATGAAGCCAATGTCCATGCTGCGTCTGCCTGTAGACCCTACCAAGGGCGTCATTGGTTGCGCCAGCAGTTTCCGTCGAAATAGCAAGTTGACAGGCGGATAGTCTGCCGCAAGCTCCTCCAGCTTTGTGATTGTCTCAGAGAACCAGGCCAGCACGTCGGCTTCTTTTGCTTCGGACGGCCATCCGTCCCACCTATCTTGTCCAAAGACTGGTTTGTCGCCTTCGCAGCACTTAGCAAGAAGCAACCTCCCTTTTGATGGTTCTTTTTTTATAATTCTATACAATTTTTGAACATTGACAATTACAGTAATGAAAACCGATTATATATAGCTCTGCGGGCGGGCCTTTACGAGGAAAGAATTCGGGAATAGTGTTGCTTAAAAGCACCTGGCACGCTTAGGCTAGCGGCAACGGGTGTATGCCTCTGGAGATTCACCCCCATACAGAATTCAATGAGAGGCCTGTGAAGCGTTCCTGGAGGCCGGTAGCCGGGATTTGTCCGCCAAAGCGCTGATATGCCCTTCAAGATGGCCGAATGAGCCTCAAGTTTTAGTTTTTCGATCATTCCAGACGCATTATTTTCCAGTGCATCAGGCTGCAATCCTTATGGAGGAGAGCAGTGGAGCTCCCACCCACTTTTGCTAGAGCTAAAACCCAGACTTCTGTGCATAACCGGAATCCTATCTTTTGCTCCTGATTTAAGGAGTACCCAGGCCTATGCCGTTGTTATAGACTGCCTGTGCTATGAATTTATGAGGCCGGCGCTTGTGTTTACATTGATATAGGTCCGAAACCAACCCAAGCCCCATCTCTCGCTTTGTCAGACACGGCGTTTTCGCTAAAAGAGTAGCTGCGCCCATTGCCGGCTGCCCAAACTCCTAGAACGCGCGACTTTCTAGCTTGCGCGACATCGCGAGCGGGCTGCTCATGGCTCGCGATGATTTCTAAATCTCGGAAGCGCTCTAAATCTCGGAAGCGCGCCGCCACTTCTTATGGTACCGTTAAAAACGAGAATCTTGCCGACTGTCCGTTCACCGTGAACGTCGTCTCAGAGCCTCCAGAGCCGAAACGCAGCGAGAGGGTCGGCCCCATGCCTAAGAAGAGGAAGCATGGAAAATCTGAGAACACCAACCAAAATGCCACTGTTATCTTTTCGTAGTTTTATGTGTCTTGGGCGGAATCCTATGTATTCAAATTCATCGAAAACGCATTAGATTCCTGCTATTAAAATAGATTGTATTAAGCGAGAAAATTGACAGAAAATGCCTTAAGCATTTCAGCCAAACTAGCGGCAAGCCAATTATCCTTCTGAACTCCTCGGCCCAGATACTGCAAATAAGAGCCCGGATATCAGCAACAACTCTGAGTAGAAACCATTCGTGCTGCGTCTAGCTGCCTCCAGTCACATATCAAAACCGGGAAATACTCAACCCGAGGCAAATCCTTCTACAAGTTCCAACTCGGCAACTGCGGCGTTAGACTTGCAAGTGCTCAGACTATACTGTATGATAACGTTCCTGCTCCCTAGTAGCTACAGCCCACGCTACGTCAGTGTCGAAGCTTTTTTTTTAAAAGGAGGGAGACTACGCACCCTTAGGCTTGCAAATCCTGGCGAAATGGTTGCCAGGCCCATCTAATCATGTAGTTTTCTCCCAAAACGAAATTCTCATCAGCCTTACGAAGCACCGGCTTCTGGCGCGGCGATTCTTATAGTGTCTCTTTTATTATACTAGCTTAGCGTTACGAGCGACCCTGGCTCTGATGGCATGTTATACAAAGCCATCAGGATACGACATTAATTTTATCGTAGGATGTGTGTCTTAAGAGAGAATCGATACTCTTACCAGGTGGCTGGGCTGTACTTTTACACTTGGAGAATCTACATGGAGATGCTAACGCGGAGGCACGGAAAATTCTCTCGCATGAACTTTTGGACTTGCGAATTTGCCTAGCAGATCGCTGCCATATCTTTTCTCAAAGTTTTCATACTGGAATTCGGGTAAGATTATTTGAAGTTTGACTAGCGATGTTGCGTTTCTTGGGGGAATTGCTGCTTGTCCGATAGTCCGGCGTCCGACAAACTGATGAAGTATTTAGCAAAGTTTGTTTTAGCTTCTACTATAAGACTGTCGGAATGTACACAGTGTAGTATTTTAAACAGGCGCCATTTAAAGAGGGATGAATCTATAGGAGAGGCTACACACGTAAAAATTCAAGAGGCGCTTGAGTGTCAGATAAAGATGGAATCTTTTGGAATGTTAGCGCCACTTTAGTAACACGCGCACTTAGATACATTTTATTGTAAACATTGAAGAGAACACTGAGTCTTGGGTAAAGTGTTAGATGTTTTGGTATCGGTTTTGATTCTAGCAGTGATAACAATTAAACATTAGCTAGCTCATTACTGTTGTCTTATACACTGACAATGGACGATGGAATCCAGCCTTAAAAACTGCCTAGGAAAAGATCTAAACAAATGAACCAAATAAGTCTAAGTAGTAGTGCAGTGTAGTAGCTTAAAGCTTCGTACCCAATCGTATTACTAGATTCGTCAAGATTCGCCTGGTGAACCATACTAGACAATAGCCAGAAGGCAAGAACTAGATAGATCTAAAAAAAAGGATAGAAATCACAGCGGGCTTATATTAGTATTAGGCGTGTTCTATTGCTTTTGGCAAGCCCAACTTCCCCTCCCCGGTTGGCTCGGTTAACTTGGAATGTTTGAGGCTGAGATAAAATCAACATATGAGGCTGCACAGATATATGTACCCACTGTATATTATTATGAAATTTTATACAAGAGGCTGAAATACATGACATATTTAGGATTTGGATTAAGAACTTAAAAACTGAACATGCGAGTTCAGTAGTCTGGATTTTATGTATATAAACCCCTTCGATAATCGTCTTTCAAAGTAATTCCTCACAATCAACCGTTGATAACCTTCACACCGCTACTAAACTCACCTTGGCAACTATATTCAATTCTCTGGATTTACATCCCGACATTTGCCCATCATGCTTTTCAAGTCTACCCTCCTCTTGCCCGCACTCCTTGCTCTGGGCCTCGCCACTGCCGTTCCCGGTTCTGACGTTGAAGAGGACCTTGTAGCCCGTGGTGCAGAATTTGGAGACAACGTCGCTGCTCGTGACATTGAAGCCGAAGACCTTGCCGCTCGTGATAGAACCCCGGATTGCGGTCGCGACGCGTCTTGGGACCCAAGGAGCCGCAGATGCTTCTGTCATCAGCGTGGATGGATTTACTACGACGATGGAAGGATTTGCTGTCGGAGAGACTGGTACTACGACCACCGTTCGTTCAGATGCTGCCGAAGGTCAGATTGGGATTTCCAGCGCCAAAGGTGCCGTCGTTGAACGTATATTATCAATCTTAGCAGAGCTGCGAAAAAGAAGCTGGAAGATGGATATTACACAAACTGAGTCAATTTAGGCTAAAAAACAATCATTAAACATCATTGATTTAAACCACAAAACCATTATGTACGCTCAATATAACACATTCGCTCCTTAAAAGCATGCACAATCCGATTCCTACGCTTGCGAAGTACTACGTACTACATGTCAAAAATATAGCCCAACTATCTGTTTTACTCTACTAATCCTACTACAACCAGCGCATCATATGCATAACCGGACGATGAAATCTTGACCATAAACGAGAGGAGCAAACTCTGTTTCGAGCTCCTCTACCTGTCTCTCTTCAAGAAAATTCGCCCTCGTCTAGCAAGGTGGTTGCCCAAAAGAGTGAGCTAAAGTTCCATCAGTATCGAGGCTCAGGTTAGGCTTGACCTAAACTACTGAACAATGTGTTAATTTTGGAGTGCCTTAATACTTTTATGATTCTCTTACTAGATAGCGGAGCTGGCTTCGAACTGGTAGGGCAAGTTTGAGTGCAGGGTCCCAAGGAGTAGTGCGGGATTCTGCGACATAGTTATTACACTAGCGCGTAACTTTTGCCGCACGCCCTATGCGTTCCCAGAGACAACCTTCTGATCAGGGCCCAGTTGGTCATACATCGTGAAGACCAGGGATTTTCTCATTTACCATATTCCGATGTTTGGCTTCAACATGTGCCACTCTATCTCGCTATGTGGTGGCTGAGATAGTAGTAGTCCAAAAGACAGCTCCAGTGATGTCAGGATGTAAAGCCTATTGAAATGAGACTAATCAAAGATCACAGCACTATGCGTGGTGTCTACTATGTATCCTGGCGCGGTAAAGGCTGGTAACCACCGCAAAAGAGACTGAAACATTTATTTCTATACGCTGTCCATAAAGCGGCGCTTTTTCTTCCGGAACTCCTGATCGCAGGTGGCCAAATGTCCTATTATAAAACTTCTATAACGATTCTAGAATAGCCAGAGCGAGAGGTAACCCGGCAGCAGCATGCTTGTTCGAAGAACGATCAAGACGGCCTCCTAGATATAGGATAGTATGGATTTACACTTGCGAGCGCCAACCTAAAATTAAAAGTTTAAGAGAAGATAATTGGAAAGATCATATAGATCGCAGCAGGGAGGAAAGGGCGCTATCGTTGTCGAGCCCCCTGTAATATGAGCTGAAGACAATCGTAGTATTTGACGGCCTCCTAATCTTGTTTTGAATATTAATGGATGGGGTTTGCTTGAGCTATATTTACTAGAGTTAATGGAAAATTTCCTTCACTAGAACATCTCTGGCCTTGGAGATATTACTCTAACATTGCAACCAACACAAACTTTACACACTGGCCCCTTAGAGTTTTCATACTGGTCTCCAGCATTCCTCATTTACAACCACCAGGTCCGTGACAAGGAAACGACCAGTGAGCCTTGGACGCACGCGAAAATTGGAGCCGGTTGATTTTTTTTCGAAAAATGGATGACTGCAGAAGAACGAGGGAAGAAAGGATGAGCCCAGGATCAATAGTAATATAAGAGCGTCCAATAAGGTGAGAAACGAGGCCTTGCGTTATCCATAATCACGCCAGCCCAAACCCAGAACGCGAAGGGACGTATAAGGGCGTCTTCTGTTGTATGGTGCATTGGCAAGTGGCACACCTGAAATTCTATCACTGAGCCATTTGAGCCACTCAGGCGCCGAAGCGGCCATTGACTCGTCGTGGGTGAGGTTGTGATACACGCTCAGGTGAACGACATTGCCTTTTTGCAGGCGAAATCGTATGTTTTAATCGTAGCATTGGTCGCAGTCGCGCCGACATGTCGTCCTGAGCATATTCAACAATACCAGAGCTCGGTAATCATCTAGGGAGATTATGTAAGCTCCTTGATGTTGAAGGGGGCCAATAGGTGCACCGCCGGTGGTGCAAATAAAGCTTACGTAACGGCGCACCACCAGCGGTGCAACTAAGATTCCTCACGTCAGCTAGCCGTTTCTGTACAGCAACGAGCCAAGCCTGAGTCG